CCTGCGAAATTCGGGGCCACCGGCCCCCCTCTCCACAAAACGCTCAGGGGCTCCCGGACCACGGGCCGATGCCGCCAGCGGAGGACGCAGCACAGGCTCAGGGAGGAGCCTGTCCCCAATCCCCGCAAGCTTGGCATCTAGCATGCCCCCAACAGCCCGCATCACCTCCCCCATTAGGCTCTCCTTCACCCCATCCAACAGCCCCTCCATCATTTGACGGAGGGCATCTGGAGTGGAGGGACCCTCCACCGACACGGAACCTAACCTAACCTAACCTAACCTAACCTAACCTAACCTAACCTAACCTAACCTAACCTAACCTAACCTAACCTAACCTAACCTAACCTAACCTAACCTAACCTAACCTAACCTAACCTAACCTAACCTAACCTAACCTAACCTAACCTAACCTAACCTAACCTAACCTAACCTCGTCGAAGACGTAATAGACAATCACTCACTTCTTATGTCGTGTTGACCATGTAACAACATCGCGTTTTATGTTCCATCTAGCGTCATCTATTGGACTATTTAAAACATGAAATATTACCCTTTATAATTCACGTATATTAAATTATTTGTAAACCGTTGACAGCTACAAGGCCGCCATTTGCCTTCTTCTTTATTTTTATTATATCATTGGTATTTAATTCACGTCCATGCAACGAAGTTTAAATATATAAATAAAACTATAAATAAATAAATAAGTTTTATTTTTTCATTAGTTTCCTTAATCATTTTAGTGTAAATTGTTAAATATTTAATATTTATGGCAATTTACGTTAAACCATGATATTTTATAAATCCAAACGTTCCTTATATATCACACAATTTTTTTTGGCTTCGGTGGCTTTTGAGTAAATGTCGTTTCTATATGCGTATAGAATTTTACAAACTTGTTTAACTGCTTATATTTCAGTCAATTTACGCTAAACCATGACAAAGTATATATCGAAACGTTCCTTTTGAACACAGGTGCTAACCTAAACAAACTTGGAAGAACTGCTAGACAATAGGGGTTCCTACGTCTGTATGAATAACAAATGCGATACATGCAAAAACCCTTCTTTTCAAGTTAATCATATATAATCATACAGGGTGGCCAAAAAGTCGTGGATCAAAGGCAAGTATATAGGGATAGATAAATTGTTCTACGGGAGGTCTCTAAGCTCAACCCCTGCAGAGTTATAATTTATTTTGCGTTTTCATAAGAATATTGAAATTTTTTTACTCATTCTTATCAAAATTCTAAAAATAAAAAATCTACATCCTGTACGACGTCACGTGACGTTGTCACATTTTTCCTTGCGATTCTGTAAGTCACTTTTCAAACTCGCTCTCAAATCAGTAGTGAAGCAGTCATTTTAAGATTTGGCATTCAGATAAGGTGGGAGCTTGTAGTTTATTGTTTATCGCAAGGCTGGAATACGAAATGTTGAATCCGCTACGTGTAAAATCTAATATCTCCGATGGTAATTTAAGAAGTGGGTGTCTGCCCATAACATTATCTAAAATTATTGCAGAAGTTGTTATCTGTGGATGAGAGCATTGAATAGGAGAAAAAGTTAGTGTAACTTGTCCCCGCAAACCAGCAACCTTAAGACCACCTACACCAAATATACCACTAGCAAGCGAAACACGCAACTGTAACCTGTCCACCAAATCCATTGACACCAAACTTCCCTGTGCTCCAGAATCCAAAATCGCACGCGTAGTTACTACCTGATGGAGAACCAACACAAACCTGTGCAGTGGGTAACAAAACTGTAATAGGAGATGTAGGAGTTTTAGTGGGCACGTGATCTAGTCAATATTCTTCTGGTTCAGGGACCCGTTGGCCTAAACGAGGCCACTCAGAAAAAGGCAAAGGCCTAACAAAATCACGACGTTGCTGTTCAGTAACAGGTGATGCACAAGAGCCATAATTATCCTTGCCTTTAGGAAGTTGTTGCTGATCGGACGTGACACGAGGCTTGTTATGAGACCTTAAGTTTCCCCCGCCCCTGGAGGGTGGTGGCCGCCTCCTCTAGTAATGATCGTAACCTTACCCTGTATGGTGCCTGGAAGTGTGACCAAAAGTACGGGGTCTAACCTGCACACCACCAGTCCACAGATCACCTGTGTTTTGAATGGCTTCAACAAACTCCCGTGCCGGTGCAGCTGATTGGGGTGAACAATTCACATTACCGCAAAGTATCATGTGATGATTGCCATTACATTGTTTGCATGGTCGTGACACTTGGCATTGTGCTGCCACGTGATTACCTAAACAACCATAACACCACTCCCACTGTATGGCAATATTACGTCGTGCTTGAAAACGTAATGCTAAAAACTTTTGACATGACACTACGGTGCGATCAGGGACTCGACAATAAAGACATTTGCCTGGATGTTGAGTGGCCACGTTATAAACTCGCTGGTCAGGGCGTCGTACAAAGCGCATATGCTGTTGCCGCGGCCAAGTAGAAATTGTGGCCGGCGTTGCGGACGGCGCTGGAACGTTATCCTTTCTGCGACACTCATCCTCTAAAAACAAAATCAATTCATCAAACGAGGGAAGATGAGTGGATGAATCTCCACTATACGCCTTTTCGGGTGCGCATGTCTAAATTTAGTTTTTGCAATGTAATATGCTACAAAATTCGCCTGAGTGTCACCTTAAAAACGCGTACTTTAAAATTGCCGCGCAAGTTCGCCGGCGATCCAACCTGTTTGAAATCTAACTCGTAGCTCGTCTTGGCTCGTACGTGTGGCAGCGCTGCGCGAGCCGGGAGTCGCCATTTTGTTGATTTCGACAAAATCTATTTAATATTATTATTTTATTTTTATTTTTTATTATTTATTTATTTGTTTGGGATTATTTATTTTTGACTTGTCGATTTCGTCTTTTTTTATTATTTGTTTGGGATTATTTATTTTTGACTTGTCGATTTCGTCTTTTTTTATTAGTTTTTAAAATGTAGTATGATATAATTCCCAAATAACACAAAGCTTCTTCTCTCGAAGACATCGCGATATAGTATGAGCAAGCTTCACGTGTGTCACCGACGTCGAGCCTAGTAAATTCACGATCTTAAAAAAAACGCGTACTTTAAGTTTGTACGTCTATCACCCACTTTAAGTTGTGGCTCTGCACGTTACTCTGTAAATCTAATATGATATCTACGTGGCTATCCGCCAGCCTACGTATGTTTTGATAACGCCGCATTAGTAAATCTCTAGCTATATCATAATTATTGTCCACAAGTGCTAAATGTTGGACTAACCCTTTAGTCTCCCCGGTGAGACTAGCCAACAAATATGCCAACTTTTGAGCAGATGTTAAATCACCTCTTGAGTGTACTAAACTATCAAATAAATGAATAAACGCCACCCATTGGCTTAAATCGCCACTAAAATGGGGAAAATCTAGTTTGGGTAACCTAACCTAAACGGAGGTCGTCACTATTGACAAGAAATTAACAAAAGTTTATATAAAAATGCACAAAACCTTAACCGAGTGAATCTCAACAATGACTAATGAATAAATGTGAGGATCGGCCGAGTAAATATATTTTTGAGATCACCCTCATCAAATTTAATAAAATTAAAATAATGTATTTTGAACACTGATGACCCAGGAATCGTACAATATATCATATACAACCTGTAGCGTAAGTAGGTAATCCATTTCCATGACAACGCTCAAGAGCTCAACGAGCTCAGCCTCTTTGGGGCGTCCACTGCGTGCATCGTCCTCGTTGCTCATTTCGCCTCGTTTAAACTTAGCAAACTTCTCAACGGTTGATTTTATTGGTGCAGAGGCTGAATAAAGTTTATCAAGCCCAGCCTTAGATTCAATTGTATTTTTTTTAGCTAAAAAGCATTGCTTTATAATTATGAAATTCATTTTCATCCAAAGAGTTCCTTCGCCTATAATACTATATCTCACTAACTAATAGTACGATAGTTACCAAATTCATTCAACTTAATACTAGTATCACTGTGTCTTTTCAGCCAACTTAATAATAACGTACGTACTTAGTACTAATCATGAGTTACGTTCGCAACATAAGCGAAACAGCGAGTTCTCAATAACTGGCATTACGGAGTTGCTTTGCAAAGAAGGGTAGAGAAAACTAAAAGACGACAACGCAGTGGTAATGATTTATTGGTTACAATTAGGTCGCAGGGCGCGGCCAACTCACAGTTCAAAGTAAAGCTAACACCACGGCGAGCTCTCGTCTCACTTCGCTGCTACTGGAAATGTATGAAAGTAGTTTTGTATACATTAGGAACGGAATTATAATCACTCGGTACGCGGCTCTCTTCTTCTTATCATCGTTACTATTATATTCATTGCTATCAATAGAAAACTCTTGAAATATTAATACTTTACCAAATAAATTCTCAGAGGCCTTTGTAACTTTTAAGTTTTTGCGAATTATTAAACCCGATTTCATACACTTCCTTAAGTTCTACGACATCAATCTCTCTCTCTATTAATTTAATACAATTTTAATATATTATTAAAATACTCAAAAGGGCGTATACATTTTCGGTTAGTACGTTTAAATTTTAAAGTAATTATTTTATGTCCTATTATTATAATATCGTAGCGGTCGAGTATTGTTAATTGCCTTTATAATAATTTATCTTATCAACTATATTATAGGTACCAATTATACACGTCTCTTACTAATATTTTCAATGATTTTAGGACTCCGTAAGAACCCGCTCGGTCTTGCGCTGAGTTTTTTGCCGAGGTCCGGTATTCGATTCCAGGAGAAATACTTGTTATTTTAAGTGCCCGTGAAGAAAAAAGCTCAAAGATACAGACGCAGATATAGGAATTGTACACACTGAGATACACATACACACATACTGAAACCGAAACCGAAACTCGCCCGGTTTCAAAATGCGTAACGCTCCTCCCGAGCCTACACTCTACGCTGAGCTTACGTTATGTACATGGCATTTTTGGTGTTTTAATTTGGCACACTTCATTAGATGGGTTGTCAGGGCGCGTCCCGGGCTCGGCGGTAGAAGAGCGGGCCTGGTGCGAGGGTGCGGTCGGGGTCCGGAGCGGGCCCCACCCGCGCCACGACGATGACGGGTGCGTCGGGGCCACCGTCATTTAGCGCCTCGAGGCCTTTGGAGGCAGCGCACACCGCGTCTCCGCTCAGACGAGCGCCCGCACGCTCCACCGCAGCCGCCAACTCGAACACCCGTTCCTCGCACAGCACGGGGTTATCTGCAAATATTCACTAACTCATCGAGGGCTCGAACGGGAGCATACGCGACGCAAAATCCGTTAGCACCTTTTCGCTTAATGCACTCGTTCATCACGAGCGTTGAAATCGCATTGCAGTTTTACAATCGCGTCGCACACAGCGCTGCATATAAACGGTGAAGTGTAAATAAAAGTTTGTCTGTTGCTTCAAACGCACACAATTAAATAACCCATCGTAACTTCACTTCATAAAAGCTAGCTATCATTGCATTCGACACATTGTATATCTCAAACCCATAGTTTATTAAGTATATTTGTCACCTTGAAGATAAATCTTTAGGACACCGGGCACGCCGTTTATGGTACAGCGAGACTTGGAGGCGACCTCGTTGTCAACTGTCTCGATTCGGTTGTGGGAGAAATCAGCCGTGCAGAGTGCCGGCAATCCATGGAGTGCCTCGTTCAACGCCACGATATCATTGTGATGAGCGTTCAGCTCTTCCAAGCGCGGCAGGATAGCCTGAAACCACCCGTATCTTAATTCGCGAGAGCTCGCTAGCGAACACGAAATACGCGGACGAGAGATGAAATGGTCTTACGAATCGTACCTTAGACGCGTCCTCTAAAGAGACGATGTGGTTGTAGGACACATCGAGCAGACGCAGCTCATCGAGGCCGGCGAGATCGGCAGGCGTGAGGTGCCGAAGCCGATTGTGGGCGAGGGTGAGGCGCAGTAGACCACGTACGCCACCTAAGGCCCCACCCAAGGCCTCCAGGCCGTTGTGGTCGAGGCGGACCTCCAACACGCGAGTCTCGATGTCCACTAGGTTCTGAAATAACGTCCCCATTGCTCTACGAACATATTTTGTGCACAGAGATGCCTACAGCACGATACAATAGTCCTAAAGCTCACAGCAATTAAGTGAGTGGATATTTGAGATAACAATAGTTACTTAGTTAAAAGGTTATGAAACATACCTAGTTATGAAATTGTATTAATAATATAATAAAATAATAAATAATAATTATTATTAATATTAATTAATAATTGAATAATATACTAAATATTAAATATTGTTAAATTATTAACGCTAAATATTTATTATTAATTATTTAATATTTAAAAAAAATAAAGAAAGCCAAAGAAGTATAACTTCTTACGCGCGTACATAAGTACACGCACCATTTTTTATGTAACAGGAGTCAACCGGGCAGGAGGCTCATCTGATGATAAGTGATACCGCCGCGCATAGACAGTCACATTGCCAGGAGACTCGCAAGTGCATTGCCGACCTATAACCGCCCGCCGCGGGACCGTACCTCGATATGTCCCGTGAGCTGATTTATTTTATTGTGCGACAAATCGATGACGTAGAGCCGACGCAGGCCTCGTATCTCGTGCATCGAGAACTGAGTGAGAGCGTTGTGCGTGAGATTGAGGTATCGCAGGGACTTGAGTGCGCGCAGCGAGCCGTTAAGTGCGCTCAGCCGATTGTAGGCCAGGTCCAAGTCAGCCAGCGACTCCGTACCGGCGAATTCGTCCGATGCCAGCTGTAATAATGGACGCAGACAGAGTCATACATGTGGTGTGAGGAATCAAATCAAACAAACGCAAAAAGGCTACCTCTTGAATATCATTGAAAGACAGACTGAGTGTGACGAGGCGTCGACAGTCACCCAAGGCACCACCCAGCGCGCTAATGCGGTTGTCGTAGGCGTAGAGGGAGTCCAGCGCGGGCAGCCGCCAAAGCTCGCCGGGCAGCGCGCGCAGGCCGTTGTGGGCCGCGTGAACGAGCGTCAGCCGTTTGGCGCGCTACGTGCAAACATTATAGTGCAATCCGAGCCCACCATATATGCTCTTCAACAGTTTAATAAAATATTAATGTATAAAGGAATTAAGAACAAAGAGATATAAAGATAGCGTTTTCATATAAGTACAAAGTACTTCTAGTAAAATTTGATTTTGGCTTTGAATTTTTATTTTTAGTAAGTAGATCATACATTTAAAAATTTGTTCCTATTTATTTGTTTTTTACTTTATAACACTTCTAATGTAGCACGTCTGAACTAACCACAGGCAACTCATTTTCAATGGATTTCAAATGATTAGCATTAATGAAGATCCACTCGAGGCGGTCCAAGTCCCTCAAGGCGCCGTTGAGAGTGTGCAATTTATTAATGCCCAGGTGGATGTGTTTGAGCCCCTTAGGGAATGCGTGCCTCTCGATCCGCGCGATCTGGTTGTCAGCCAGGAGCAGATGCTCTAGCTCCTGGATATCCTGCGAGTGGAAACATTAGTGAGTGTGGGCAACAAAGTGCGGACGGAGGCAGTGGTCGCTTCCTGCGTTGCAGAAGTGTTACCTTGAAGTCATTCTCAGCTAGCTGCGTAATGTTATTTCGGCAGAGATCTAGCGTGCGAACGTGAGGCAAGTGACGCAGCACGTGTCGCGGCATCTCCGCCAAAGAGTTGTCTGCCAGGCTCAGATAGTCCAGCAACTCCAGCTTCGTAAACACGCTTTCGCGTAGCTCACTGGAAACATTTTACACCATCATTTGTACAGTTGAACTCGATTTGTTATTAATTAATTAATTTTAAATGTTACAGCACTCCAAATTACTATCGCGGTCAAGTAGACATTGTCATGGACCTTCCTTATATCATTTCGTCGAATAGACTTGTTGCCACGGTGGCTATATATGTATCGCGGTCGATTTTGTGATAATTTTCCCAATAAAAAAAATACAAAATACCAGAATCTCATCGTAAACGCCTGAAATCTGAGCAAGTCAGTACCGGAGCGGTGGTACCTAGTTACCTTACACTAAAAGGAGCATTTTTTACAATATTTCGTGTATCAGATCAATTGAATGCATCACAAAATCAGGGCTGCGTCACGAGTACATCTAGTTAAATACTGTGTAGTGAGAGGTCAACGGACCAGGGTTATCGCGAGGTCCACGGCTGGCGCCACACGATCATACGGCTGCGCTGCAGGTACCATAATATAACGTAGGTTCCATACGACCATAATAGAGTACATGCCCAAGAGGAACCGAGCCAAAATAAGTGACTAGTAAGATTCACAGACATATGTTACTGAATTACTGCGCTAGCGTCTCAAGGTCTTCGTGTAAGGTTACTTCAGTACCACATAGTCACAGTTAGCAACCCAAGAAAGACTGTAAGAAGTTATTTATAGCAAATTCATCTGTAACAGTAACTTGTACACTAATTAAAAAGACTGAACTGAAATATTGTTTAAGATAAAAACTACGTTTCATCGTTATCAGAATAATATATATTACATTTGCAAGAGCTCGTCGTGCACAACACGTATGCATGTGTGGAATAACAATTCATTACTCTTAAGCTATTAGGCGTTTTTAATTAATAAATAAACGACCTCAAACCTCAACATGAAGTCAGCTCCGCGTTGCTACGATAGTCCTGATTACCATCTTTTAATAATAAAATGCAAAATCTGGTAAAAATCAAATATAAGCAGACAATAAATGGTCATTATTAATATAATGCACATCGATAATATAGAATATAATACAATAGAATCTAATAGATTCATATTAAAAAGAAATTAGAAACCTGGAGTAACTAAAGCATCCCAAATAATGCATCATTTTAGAATAAAATTTTAATTAATTAAATCGGACCCATAGTTTTCATTCAAATAGATTTAAGTGTCTAGTTTTTGCTGTTTGTATACGCTATTAATATTTTTCTGATAATAACTTGAAACTGTAATGTTATCTAAATATAGCAAGAAGTCGGTGCGAGCTTCTTTTTTATACGAATAATATGTTTTGATAATTAAAGAGTTCAGGTGGGGTTAGGTAGGTACATCGAAGCTATAAAGTTCTGCCGAGGCTAAATATGTATGTCTATAAAATATTATATTGAAGTGGTTAAAGAGTCGATTCATAATTGTCGTTACTTCGGGCCAAAGGGCAATTAAATTACAAAATGGGATCAATTAGGCGGCGAGCTGCGTTTACTAGAGGCGCCTTAGGTTTATTTATTTAGTTAAATCCGCATACTTCATCTTTTACACCCTTTTCTAATTCCGACGGAGAGCTGGTTCCGGCTGGTAACTCTGAATAAGTGATAAGCACGCTTTTAGCTATGCGTTTAACGTCGTTTCGTTTCGTTAAACGTTGAAGAGAAGAATCAGCAATTTGGTGAATTTTAGCCAGCCTTCTCATAGTCGAATAATAATACACATAAGTTCCGCGACTCGGATAAGATATCGCTGTACAAGTGAACACCGAGAGAAGCGCACGATTGTGGTGTTATCGCCCACGGCGGCACGTGGCTCGAGTATGCATCGAGCGTACCCTTCAGTATCGCTATTTACATACATCATAATATTTACTTTACTAAAAATATCAAGAGTGTTATCGACTGCCTATTTTTAAATTAACAACATCAACACCTATAAGGATTAAGCCAGTTGCGAAATAAGCGTCCGAAATTACCCAAAAGTGTATATACTTAAAATACATACAAATATATAAATACTACAGACATATATTTAAAATGTGTTAATATTTTTGTGTGTATTGTAGACAACAGTAATTCCAAAACAAGCTTATCATAAGCTACAACGCTACAAATTATGTTCCGGACACAACAGGTTTAGGTACGGCTAAAAATCTTAATTGAATTTAAGACAAGAAAACATGGTATTTACACCGATAACATGCCCATCGACGACATCGAAGATCCAGAAAGTACAGGGGCCGCCCTCTTTATCCGCCCTAGCTATTCCATAACCATTAACAAATATTTTCGTAATTATGTTGTTGTATTGGGAATGTGTTTCAAGCGAAAAGGTCTGTTAAAATAAAGAAATAGCCAAATCATGTATTCAATGTACTTTTCAACTGGATTAGACATCAAATTTATTACTCAACCTAATAAAACACAACAGAAACAAGTAAACATTTGATTCCCTTGCTTATCTTAACAGAAAATAGAAGACTGATTACGTGCTTCAGCAATATTCAACCGAATACAAATAACAACTTTAAAGAGAAGTTGAGTGATGAAGACTAGTGTTCACTTAAAGTGGGTTTAAACGTCTTCTAACTGAAATAATTTACTGCCATACAGAAGTATGCGAATACCAAAAGAAAGAGACAGTAAAGAGAACAACGATGCGAGGAAGTCAACTTTGAAAGTAGCAAAACTGGATGGTTTTATCTTAGAAAAGGGTTCGTTTTCGTGAACGAGAAGTACTTATGCACTATTAGCATTTCATTAAGGGTACAACACGGCCACTGTGATATCATTCAATTTTACTGCTTTAGAAGTGACCCAAGATAACCTGAACACTATCGCGCGGCCACTTCATCACTCCTAGATGCTGTTACGAGTGCCGATCGATTTGCCTTCAATAATCTCACAAATTTATTTGTTACACTTGTTTTGCGACGAATCAAAGACAATATTATTTATCAGGGGAATAACAAAAAAGAAAAAAAGTTCAAAAAGAATTGTGATCAATAGGGTCAAAGGTGAAGCGGCCACGGCCACTTTAATTGCTGTGGAGCTCAGATCTCGCGTAGGCTGCTAATAATAATGACTAATTGACGCTGATAGACTCCGCTCAATTAATAATTAATACATCGCCACGAAGGGAAATTTTCCGCGTTAAGATTCGAACAGAAGACGGCGCGCGGGCGCCGCCCACTGCGATGATAAGCGGCGTTCGCTTTCGCCCTTATCAGCGCCTCTCGCGTGAACTTGCCTCAGGTTGTCGAAGTTGAGCTTGAGTTTGGTCATGGAGAGGCCGAGATCCCGGAAAGTGTGGTCAGCGAAGTCAGGAAGGCGCGAGTGCGAGATGTCGAGGCCGATCTTAGTATCCGGACTGAACTTGTCGGTGAGGGCGCGCGCGACGTCGCGGTAGGAAGAGATCCGCTGGCACAACACGAGCACCGCTCCGGCGGCGTCCTCACGGCGGCATGTGCACGGTGAGATCTCGCGCCGCAGCGCGCAATGCACGCTGGCTCCCACCCCGGGCCACGCCAGCGCGCACAGCCACACGCCCAGCGCCACAGCAATCATCGCGTGCTGCTCCGTCGGCGAGCTGTGCGCTACTACTCGCCACTCCGCTGTCCGCACTCGCCGCTGACTACTCCACGGCGCCACTCGACGTGCCTCCGAGCTCGCTCCTACTTAACATTGTTGGCAAAGCCGACCGCTTCGATATGCCGTATCGAGTAAATACGTGACGCAAATTATCGTTGTTTGCTTACAACGTGTAGCGCTCAAATAAAACTACGTTCCGCCGATAAATTAATGTTCCTTTTAACAATTTTTTAAAATAACAGAATATTATGATTGACAATGCCAGCTGTTGTTTAATATAATAAATCCATTTTAAAATAATAAGAATGTTAACTTACATAAAATTTTGAGCAATAATACTACCTCACCTCACATAAACTGTCTTCGCAGTATAATTTATACAATTAGTATATCTATTAACAAAATAACAAAATGTATACTTATTCTGCATGCACGCGACATTAAGAGCTTTGATTGAATTAACTAAATTTCTTATTAATTCAAATTATGAAGCGCCTCGTTACAATATGTGAGCAATCTTGAATCCAGAATTCTCGAACACAACTATGGCACTACTAGACATCGACGCAACACTTGAACTTAATTTAGTACGAAAATAATAAAGAATCGGCTCACAATCGGAATAAAAGCGAGAATTTAAATAAAGCCTTAGCGATGATCACATTAAGTATTCCATTCTATGGTCTATTTGTACGTCAACATTATACAAACTACAGAAATCCGTTCGGTAACTCATGAGATTTATCGATATCATGCACTTGAGCTTGTTCTTGTTCTCGATTAATATTAACACAAATTTAAATTTTTTGTGAGTTGTACCTCTAAAAGGTTGGCCGTCTCCGTAGTAGCCTTCAAGATTTCTGACATTTAGATTTGAGGCCTATAACACTCCGCAACTTTCGTCGCCGACATTCAGATTTGTGGACGATAGCGAGCGGTCTACTGATCGTTATAACGCTGTCGCCTGATTCGAACCTTCGAGAACAAACGCAAACGGAGTTAAGGAATTATTCCTCTTTAGTATCTATATTTTGGCTGTGTCATTATCACATTTTTGGCACTATGACCCCATGGCATGTTTAGGGAAGACCATTTTATAACATGATAACCATTAATTATCCAAATGAACGTCATGCATATCAAACATTTGTATCTGTACATTTTGATTTCAATCAAGATCTAAGGAGTTATCAAACTTTAAAAATAAATCCGCAACAAAATCATGAAACGAACGCAATCATGGTGTGACACACACCACAGCTAGTTAATCATAATATATCGGATTCTAAATCCTAAAGTAATTGTCACAACGAAATTTCATCATCAGATTTATTTTTTATACGGCTCGTAAAAATTCAGTTGATAAAATTACCGAAACCTAAATATAAAATATGATTCAAGTAGTGAAAAATAACGTCATTTATCCAGAAAACGCTTTTACAAAATTCGCTGAAATCGTGGAATATTTGCAAACAGCCTCCTGGATTCACAACTAGTTGTGGGTATTATCGACGCTAATTTACAATAAATTAAAATAAAAAATTAAAAACATAATTTCCGTTTAAGGCGTTCTGACTTCCACTTAATATTAAACGACTTTACCAACCGTTTATTTGAGTCTTTCTCCAAAGACTATTCAGAGTAAAGCATGGCTTGACAGTTGACCCACCAAAAGCCTTCAATAAGAATACACGGCAAGAATGTTGTCCGAACGAGTCGACATTAACATTTTTAACAAGAATTTCTCATTTATCGCTATTGCTCGAAAGTGCCACAGAGATAATATATTTATTTCACAATATAGGATTCAATGAAAATTTAAATGCGAACGCCTGAATAATAAAATTTCTCACTAAAGAAAATATGCACTTCTAGCAGATTAAGCAGATTTTCCTCTCTTTCAAAAATGGGCAGTCTGGCAACTTTTTTACTACTATTACTACTACCACGTAAGTAAGTACAGCTAGTCGAGCTATTCATACTCGGTCTACAATATCCATATATTTAGTGCAGTCTTGGCCTAACTCTAGACTACAAGCCCATGAAAACAAAAAACCTGTGAAATGAACCAACGTGAATAACGCTTAGAAGGCTGTTACTATATCTGAAAATAACTCTGAGCACTATGCCGTCATTTCTGAGCGGTACATGTGAGTACGTGAGTGAATGGCATTTCTCAGGTACAAATGAGGAATTTCGACTAATTATTAATGTACGGCTTTTTTATAAGTGTATAGATGATTAAAAATAAATGTCGAAAAACCTAGTGCCGTACTAATGTGATGGTGCGGGAAGTCGGTGCAAATTTCTAATTCGACGATAGTTGCAGAAGCAATATAGGTCATTTATTACTGTACGGCATTGGTGTAATTCCTTTTGGACACATATACAGATACTTTACCCGTAAACGCTTCGTCATCACAGCGATTGAAGCCGCAGACAATCGCATATAAGTGTTACTTTACGTAGAAATTGTGCACAATTTTATCAAACGTTTTAGATATGTAATTGAAACAATTGAATTATATAAAACTATAATCTATTGTCTGCATGAAATGGAATACGAAAGTTGTCTGCTTAAAGAGACAAAAGAGAACTTTTCAATTATGTTAAAAACAAATACTTAACTTAGTCTTTCTCGTCATTGTTTTTCATTTGAAAAATTTAATTTCAAACTATAATGTATTGGCGTAGACACAAAATCTAAAAGGTCAATGCCCTAAAACATCGCTTATTAACTGTAGGTAGCTAAAATATTTCTATCATAATATTAATAAAATATAATATATGGTCTAAACTGGTTTGACATAAACCTGGTTAAGAAGTATCTGATACGAAAATGTTAATGTAAAACATTAACATTTTGTTCGTATGTAATGTAGTAGACTGTAGCACTCGATATGTACGAATGATAAATTCTCCTAAAAGACTGCATTTGGTATGCAGTAAGTACAAAGTTGATAATTCAATACAAAAATAATAGAAATAGTCGTTGATCGGCGGCCTGTTAAACAAATTTAACAATTTCGTCTTTTTATTGTTAGTAAAATAAAAGTTTCCCTGCTAGAGCTTACATAAATCAACGACCAAGATCACTCGATCAGACATTCGAATTCACCAGTGTAAGGCCGAGTGTAAAGTTTGTCAAAAAATTACCACCAACTTGCATGAAAATTAATTTATAATAAATTTATAATGAAAAATCCACACAATTTGTCATATTTTTTTGTTCGCTTGAACGTGCTAATCTTCAACTACACACAAAGCAATATAACATTATATAAAGCAAATTATTAAATGAATGACAAATCTCAGGTCCGGCTCAATAACTATAAACTTCGAAGTTGACGAAGCCAGCAAACATTCAAGTTTTAATTTGGTTTTTCCAATTCTTTAAAAGCGATATCTCTATTCACGGATATTTTGTTAGTAGGTAAACATTTAATGCCAAGATTAAGGCCGGCTGCCACAGCTCTGGGTTTTAATTTGTAATTATCATAATATTAACGAGATGTTGTGAGCTACCCTTGACATCAATATTTGATAAACATCCTCCTAGCGAAAAAATAAAAGAAACATAATTCAGACTTAAATTTAGTTAAGCCGTAGAGTAGTCATGGCTATCAAATGGGATTCAATAGACCGAATTTATATTATGTGATAGATACGACGGTTAAAACAAATTTACACACTCCCGCGATGGAAGACATGGACTAAACACGACGAAAAGTACAAAGACATTTAGTGCATCAGTGCAATGCGCTGCGCTGCGGCATGTCAACACCTGCCGCAAACACATTTCGATAACGAGTTCACGAGCCACCGAACCAGCCTGCGATTAGGTAACCGATGACTTAATTGGTTGCATTGTCCGGGGGCGAGAGCTTTCGTCGCGTACCGGTTCCGTGGTGACTCGCGACCTTGTACTTGAAGATGTCGACTATATAAGTAACATTCGGCCTCTCGGCCATCACTCGCGACCCGGCAACCTCCACCATGATTTCCATTTGGGTGCGTACTTTTTTATTATCTCTGCTGTGTGATAAGATTGATATTTCATCTGTGTACATTTCGCGTGACATTTATTTGTTCATATTATATTAAGACATTGATAAACCTAATTTAGCGAAACTTAAAATGTGTTTTTTTTTTAAGTTTGTGCACGTAACGCGTGTCGTTCGAGATGTGTTAAAGACATTTTGTAAAAATTAATTAATAGGCTGTAAAAGCTTCACACATAGGTTCCAATTTGGTCTGAAACAAAATTACTTACGCATGATTTTTACAAGTAGGTAATTAAACAATATAAAGCTTGAAAAATATTGGGCTTTAAAGCGATTCACTTGATATTTTCTAATGTTGTTGAGAATTTATTAATTGGCCTAACGGAAAGTTTGTGATTGTTTGTGTGATTTTAATGACAATGTTCTTTATATATAATATGTTAGAATATAGGATCTTCACAAAGACACATTTTAATTTTCTTATGTAGCCAAGTTGACATTTTAAGGATCGTTATGCTCGCTTAAATGTCATTGCTTTTGGAGATGTCCATGCGTCGGATTGTCTCTCTCCCTAAAATATGGCGAGGGGGCCGATGGCTGAGCATGCGTATTACTCGTGAACGGGTGCTACTTGTGGTGACTGGTCGTACTTGAATACGTGTATGCGGTGATGTTAGTTATTTCGACTATGTATTTGCGTGTTGTTCCCACGAGAATGTAACTGCGTGCTCCTATTTCACCATGCCTCCTGCTGATAGAGGCCAAATCTTTGTTTTTATTTTATTTTATTATTATTTATTACTTAAGATGTCATATTGTACATGGTGTAATGGTTTCAGCTCCTTACAAACGTTGTGTAAAACAAAAAAACCTTGGTGAGTAAAAAGAGTGGCGGAGAGTCTATTGCCAGTTCTTCTCTTCCGTTCTACGCCCTTGATTTGAGAACTGGCAGTAAATGTAAAATTAGAAATTATTATTACATTTTATCTTTGACTTTCACGTTTTATTAAAACACTTGAGAACTTTTTTTCGAAGTTTAGACATTTTATTACAAATTTATACATGTCGCGACCTATATATAACTTTTAAGTACATATTGTAATACATTGCAAATTTAAATGTAAAATTATATAAAACTAGCTAGCCTGGCGAACATCGCACCGCCTAACAGTCGATTCTTTATTTTTTTTTAATTCTGCTATTCGGGACACCGGTCTAGCTAGTAAGATAAAAAAAGAAAGTTGATAAGACAACAAATACCTACATTATGTCAAAAAATAAAAATTTACCTTCCCGGAACCCCTCCACTAACACTTGAACTTTATGATATGGTATTACGCCTTTAGTACACCTACGCAATCGCATGCGGCAGCGAAACGACGAAAAAACTGTAAGTTGTATGGCAAGATTTCGCATGTGTTTTGTCTCGCTCTATTATATAGCTAGATGAAATAGTTGCGTCCTTGTCGGTATTGTTTCGCAAGTAACTGCGAAATGGCTGTTACACAGACGCAGCCGTTTCGCTAGCGGAGTTTCGCATCGCAATGCGTCACCACGCGTTCTGTCAGTGAGGACAGAATTTCGCACAATGGAAGCCGAAAATATTGAATTATTATTAAATTTTATTCAAAATTATCCCGAATTATATTTAGTTGGGCATGTTAATTACAAAAATGCATACAAAAAAGAGGTGGCATGGAGGAAAATTCAAGAAAAGACGGGGATAGATGGTAAGAAATAAAGCTACAATGACATTTCCTTGCGAAAAAACTGCAGTGTACTAACGTTCCGCAGATATTTCGCTACCGCAATTATTTCGCAAAGACTCGCAGCCGCATACGAACGCGTAGGTGTACTAAAGGCGTTAAAGATCAAATTGACTTTTAAGTATTATTACGAATATTTTGTATGAGAATATAGAAAAGTGTTGTTTTTAGACTTTGTCACTCAATTTTTTTAAATTTTTCTCTCCGTAAGAACCATCCTCGTACTTCAAGGAATATTATAAAAAAAGAATTAGCCAAATTGGTCCAGGTGTTGTTGAGTTCTGCGCTTACCAACACATTTTGCGATTCATTTTTATATTATATAAGATAATTAATAGAATGAAGCGAGACCTTCTTAGGAGCTTTTTTACTAAAATATTTCGCCAGGATCCGCTTACCTTGTAACCTTGAATTTAAATATTATGTAATCTTCATTTCTATTAATAATACAATTAATTACTTTGCTAACTATACCTAAGAAATAATTATCATCGATGAAGTCTACCAACTCATAAAAAAACTATATGTATTAATTTTTTTTTTAGATGACGTCAGTCGTGCTGGCGATGGCAGGGACCATCAGCGTAGGCTACGAGTACAATGTACCAAACCCCGTTTTCGGTGCCTACTCTGCTCAGGGTTCTACCTCGACTGGGTATGACCGACCCGGATATAACTACAAAGCCTCCTCCAACTTGGGATACAATTCTGCATTTGGAAACTATGGTAACTACGGTGCCTCTACTGGCATTGGCTCAGGCTTAACCAGTACGGGCTACCCAAAAGGATCATATGTTCAAAGTGGCTCAACATTTGGCACTGATTCAAACCAAAAATATCTGTCTGGAGCGGGATCGGGTTACAACTCCGGATACTACCAAACAGGTTCAGGATCTACTACCGGAAGTGGGTCTGGATACTACCAAACAGGTTCAGGATCGACTACCGGAAGTGGGTCTGGATACTACCAAACTGGTTCAGGATCTAATACTGGAAGTGGGTCAAATTTCAATGAACTTGGCCCTAATCAATCAAATCATAACTCTGGATCAGCTTTTGGAACAGGATCTAACAATAACTACGGTTCAACCGGTTCTTTTGGATCTAATAATTATGGAACTGGTTCGGGACACCAGCTTACTGAATATCAAACTACTTTTGAAAGTACATCTGATACGAGCGGCCTAGACAAAATTGGGAGCCACTACGAATCAGCAAGTGCCGCTAACCAGTTTCAGTCCTCAAATCAATACCATTCAGCAGCTAAACAAGAATATTATATTCAAAACTCCCAACAGCCTACACAAGTATTTAAACATTTTTATGTACTCTCCGCACCTGAAGAACCAGAACCAGTCAGGCAACGTCAACCGATTATATTGCCACCCGCACAAAAACACTACAAAATCATATTTATTAAGGCACCCAGTCAACCAGCGCCATCTCCGCAGATAATTACTGTACCTCAACAAAATGAAGAAAAGACCATTGTTTATGTCTTGGTAAAGAAACCAGAAGATGTCAAGAACATTGCTCTACCTAAATTTGAATCTAAGGCACCGACAAAACCTGAAGTATTTTTCATCAAATACAATGACAAATCCGATTCTCAAGCCCTCATTGATAACATTGTCAGTGATTACAACAAAGGTGGCGTAAAGGCGTCTTTTTCTAATTTAAATGTAGGGACCAGCAATGGAGCCATGTTCACTGCTACTGGACCAACTTCAACGAGCGAAGATACTTCAGGATCTCTTGATAGTATTTTGCACTCAGAGCAATCTTTCGAGGTTGGTGGATCAGATACTTCAAGTCAATTTAATAAAGGTACTACTCTTTTAAGTAACAAAGACGCATCCATTATTGAAACTGGCAGTGGAACTAATCTTCAGTCAACATCAAATTCTGCAACGGGATCTATTTATGTCCCTTTCCAAGCAACTGAAACCAGTAGCAGTTACAATTCCTATGATTCGGCTTTAAAACCAACCGGTAACTTTCCTTCTGTGAATAACGACGTAAGTTCAAGTACGTCTGAGTCTACTGTGGAAAATTTTGACAACAGATTTAATACTGACATCGCAGCTAGTACTATTAGCCAGGGTGCCGGTGAAACATTTGCAGCAGTAGTGAATGACGAGTCTAGTTCTGTTTCTTCAATAATTTCAAATTCGAATTTGGAAAGCAGCACTTTCGATGCATCAAGTGGTATTGATACTACTTTACCTAACTATGCACCAAACAATTTATATGGGAGTTCTACTGTCAAAGGCTCTAGCAACGGCTTAGGCAGCTTGACTGCTATTGGGTCAGTAGGAAATAGTGGATCAAATACGGCTACATCTTTTGGGAGTGCCTTAGGTTATAACTCTGGCACATCATACAAATCCTACAACACAGCCAAGCCCAGCGTTAGCTTTGGCACAAATTATAATAACTATGATTCGAGTGCCGGAAGTGGTGCAGTTGGCTCTGAAAAGTATAGCTCGTCCTCTGGATTTGGCTCTGGTGTATCATCTGTAAACGTATATCATCAAAACAGCCTACCGCACAACTCGTTCAGCTCCACAACCGCCAACGTCTTACCTTCTGGCGCCCAATCGAGTTTTGATTCTTCTCTAGTGTCACCGAGCCAAGGAGTTCCCTATGAAACATATGGCCCACCTAAGTTTAAAGTAGTTTAGAGGTAAAGAAACTGCTGCAATTTTAATTTTGTATGATAATAAAATATTGGTCAATATTGGATTGTACTTTATTACTACTCCTTATTGTACGTTATACGTTTGTTTTGTTCTTAGATTTAAATCGCTAGATCCAAATTAATGAATATTTTTGTGAAGCTTTGGTAAAACAACGCAGCCGACATTATATTACATACCTACATATAAACATTTTAATTATATTTTAATGTAGAATAGAATCATTAAAAATTGGCATTTAAAAACTGGTAATTATAATTTTTTGACGATATTCGCACGTTTACAATTAACTTTTGGAACTTTTAGTTCTACTATAGCTTACAAATTTTTTCATCGCTTTCACGTTGGTAGAGCTGGCGATGATTAAAAGAAAAGTTCTAATATGTCAATTTCATTCTTATTTTTATTAGTATAATATTAAAGTGTATTTATAATAATTATTATATACAGCTCCGGTTAAGATCACATTCATATTAAATATAATTAAGAAGTAGGTATATCTGTATATTAGGACCTACTTATTTAAAATCAACAGAAAATCACTGTTTGCTTGTTGTTTCATGTTTTACCGCTTGCTAATTTGAATATGTAGGTATTCGACTTACTTTAATAAAGGGCATCTATACACAAGTGAGGCATGTACCTATATAACGTAACTGTGTATCCGTTTCTGACGTATTATTGACGTGGCATGGGGGCGAGCGACGTCACAACCGCTGAAGTGCATCCACCGCGGCCATCTTGATGTACTCCATCCGCATGCTTCTGTCCGTAATCTTGATTTATTGAGCAAAGCGATTAATATCGGATTCCTTACTAATTTAGCCAGTAATGCGTTCTCCTCCTCAGGGTTGTCACAACCTGGAACGAGCCTCGTCTCCATTTGCGAATTCGATAACGTTGACGCTATGTTGAAGCCCTACCGCCCCACCGAGAAAGCCAAGTTTACCGGCCAAGTCTACCGGCTATGTCACACGTCTAAGCGTCTATCGTTTAGGCTTCTGAGCGATTAAACGTTAATATGGATAGTTGGGGCGACCGCAGGGCAGCCCTACTGTAGTTTATGAATGGCGCGCCACTACGTTGCGGAATGTTCGCGCCGGCGCCGCTGGCGGCCATAAATGTTGGCAGTATCTCAATTCATTTAAACATCTGCTTTCACGCCGGTTCTAGTAAGAAGTTGTTAATTTTTTTTTCTTTTAGGTAACTAAGACAATGCATCAGTTTTAAGCGCCATTTTAATTTTAGTTTAAACGTGTGAGGCACAGAAAGCTGATCTACTTGTCTATAAAATGAAAACGATCAAAAAACTAGTCATCAGAACAACTACCAAACATTACTATAGGGAATATGCATGGACTCAAATATTTCTTTCTCTAATCTTTTTTGTCATCATAGTATTACTGGAAGGTTTTTTAATTTATTTATTTGATAATGAAACCCATAAACCATCCTATGCAATGAGTTGCAAAATAATTGGTCAAAACGACGATCCCTACGTACAAAGCGAGATGTCAAAAATAGAGGTTTTCAAGAGAGTGTTTGAATCTCTGAAAGTGAAAAGATAAATTTCTATTCACTTTTCGAAATAATTTTTTTCTGAAATTTTTTAAAAGATATTTGAAGTTTATGACTCTATTTATACATGTTTTCAGGAAAAACTCGTTAACCGTTTATACGTAGGAGATATCAAATCAATAATATAAAAGACGTTCTTTCATTATAATGGCATTTATAATGAAAGGTACGATTTGAATATTGAGGTTTTTACCCTTTAAAGTAAAAATATACTTCTCTAGACATAATATCTTTGCATACGTGGTTTTTTTGAGTACAACTGCTTTTGGGGAATGTAAATAACGACATGTATTGAATTAAAATAATAAAACAGACACAATTAAATAGGAACTTAAAATAGAAAATAACGGTGCATTTAATGCATCACAATCAACTATTCTAAAAAGAGATATCAATAAACTATAATAATATTTAATTTATCTAAAGATAAAACTAATCTAATTATCATTACATGCTTCATTCTGACTGATTAGTATTATTATTATTTAATTTATAAACTATTTGTTATTCTTTTTTCAACATTAAAGTCAAAAATAAAATGAATTAGTTTCTAAGTTATCTAATTAATCTTCGTCATCACCGTGGACTTCCTTAGTAAGATTAAGGTTTTTATAAAATTCATGATACTTTTGTGGAATTATCATTGTCACACAAAGTAATCAAGTCCTTGTACTTTGCTTCAGTTATCGCAATTGGCTGTTTGTATAACTTCTCTTTCTGGCCTGCGCCGTTGTCTGACCAGAATCTAAAATCTTTAATACCGCCTTCAACCTTTTTTCATATAAAATAAAATAAACAACTTGCCACTTCATTAGCGCCGCGTTGAGTGATTGTTTCGTCACACATGTAACAAACAACTTCTTTTATTCCAGCACCAAAAATAGTATAACTATATCCGTATACAATTTTAATATTTTTGGTTAGAACACTAATGTTAGCATGTGAGGTGTTATTAATTTTCTCTAAAAATCAAACATAGCTGTAAAAATTTTTAATGGATTCGATTGAGCTTCAACGTTTTCCATCTCTCTGGCTTGTTTTTTGTTGTCGATATATAACTTATATTTTAATTTCTCAATATCCAATGGCGGGGTAGTGTGTTTTTTAATTAGCTTCATATGACTGGTAGTAATAAAAAAAAGTTTCAATTTAGATAGGAGCGTAAAATATGTTGCATACCTTTAACGCAAAGTGCTTAGTCTATGCTTCACTTCCTCATGAAAATAAACTCGACTTCGTCTAGTTTAATCGTAACAATAAGTACATACGTATTTAACTTTTTAACGTTGATTTTCAAATTTAAATTATAATCGATATATTCAGTTTTATTTTTAGGTATACATTTATATTTTGAGTTAACGTAGCCGAGATTGAACTTTTCTAATAGATTTTAATATAATATCGATTATAAGTATTTCGAGGAAATATGCGAACTATTTAAATTTCCACTGTGGTTGGTCGATTTATTATAAAACATGAGTCATTATGAGAGAATACAGCTGACCTTTTTTTTGTTTCCAGATTATTAAAACCTAGTGACGGTAGATTAAGAGCAAGGTGTTTTAGAGTTTCAAGTAAAAAGGCGGGTAATTTAAAAGTGACAAATGACAAAAAAAATATATAATTAAAAATTATACATTTTATGTGTTCACATGAAACGTTGAATTTACGGGATAGAACGAAGCTGTTCTATCAAAAACTCGTAAGTTGATCGAGTATTTTAAAGTTCAGAGTGATGTTGCTGTTGCTTAATCTATAGAAAGTAAATCAGAAAATACAGAAGTTCCATCTCATTGTACATATGATAGTAGTAATACTACCGTTTCTTACCTTACTCTTTCTTCTGTTGTTGCTACTCCTTACTTTGTCTTTTCTTTTGATCCCAGTCATGCTCCTTTCCATGGCATGTTGACATACGGAGAGGTTATTTGTTACGTTTTTTATTAAAGCCCATCTTTCACTTTGAAAATAAGAAGACAAAAGTGGAAATGGGCAGGCCACATGATCAGGGGAAAGGACAAATGGTGTAAAATAATCACACAATGGGGTACCAAGAGATTGAAAGAGAAAGAGAGGTAGACCACAAAAAAGGTGGGACGACGACATTATACAAGTCGCAGGAACAACATGGGGTAGAGTGGCCATAGAAAGGCCAGAATGGACAAGATTGGAGGAGGCCTTTGCCACCTGGCAAACGGACACGCAAAAGTGGAACAACAGAATAATCTACGATAGCTAAAATCTCTTACAGAAGAGATTTTGGAAAATTCAAAATTCAAGTATTGTCAGCGCTTACGAAGATGATTTTGACAACAGCCTAGGTGGCGAATTAGTGCAGTTTGTAGAGTTGCTGAAACAGATACCTATGGCTACTGTTATTGACAGCAAGAAACAGGAACCTCTGGAACAGCAATTTCATAAACTTTTATTAAATGATTCTTTAGAATCGTGTTTCCCAAACTTAGATATTGCCCTGCGCATTTACTTGTCTCTCATGATCACTAATTGCAGTGGCGAATGGTTTTTTTTCAATATTAAATGGTATTAAAAATTAATTAACGTACACGATGGGCCAAGAACGTCTTAATCATCTCACTTCGTTCGATTTACAGCATGATTTGCTTAAAAACGTCGATATTGATAGTGTTATCTCTAAATTTACCCATATTAAACCGAGAAAAGTTTATTTGAAACAGTTTTATTTTATTTAATACATGGCAGAATTTGCTACAGGCGCCGCGCTGGCTTAATCCGGCACTGCATACTCTATTAATAATGTTTGTGTGATAAATAAGATAAACCAGTTTCATTCGAAGTTTTTTTAGTAAGGAAGGCGACTGGTTTTGTCCTTCGATCATCAAAATTTCGTAAAACCACAATCGTAAGACAGACAATTTAGGAACAAGTAAGTAAAACGTTTTAGACAGAGAGTTATAAATTTCAATGAACCAATCTTTTACTGCTTAGTAAAATTCCAAACTTAAATTTTATTGAGCTATTTATCTATACTAACATAACATAATATAGTATCATCATCTTCACTACAATATAAACATTATATTGGATATACTTATTATATAGATTATACTCGTAGTCATACTCTATTGTATTCGTACTTATGCATCTCTTGGACCAAAAAAAACACTTTGTTTCTTTCACTTTCATTAAAATCCGGCAGGAACGAAAGAATTAACGTTTAATTAGATTTGGTTTAAATTAAATAAATAACTATAGCTATTCCTACCACGGTTTTATCTACTAAGGTTAATATAACTTCGGCTCCAAAAGTATTTCGGTGCCGAGAAAGAATTCAAACGTACGACATCAGAGTCGCATGCTTAAGTGCATGCACTGTCTTTTTAGTCGTGTTCTCCAGTGAGTACCAGTTCAGCCGCTCCGATAGGCCTAGTCGCCTCACAACAACAACAAAGGGCGTGTTTTCCACGCGGTCGAGTTTGTCCTGAGTCGTCACAAGAGGGAAATCAGAGCATATTAGTCTTCATCAATAAGCACTAAACATAGAGATAGTCCTGAACCGGGATGCTTTTGTTCTGCTGCTCTGAAGAAACGAAAAAACTAAAATAAAATAAGATAACATTCGGTTGTTCAGCAATTGCTAGACTATTTCAAAGCAATGTAATTTTAATAGTATATTTTATTGTTTGTAATAAATCGAGTATGTTTTATTTATGTATTTTGTTTCATGTAATGTGCCACTCAGCCGCTGGAGCGCACGATGTCATCGTAAAGCTGCACTGCGATGGCGACGTGTCGTGTTTTGGCGTCGCTTTGAATTGGAATCTCATGTTAACGACTACAACTTGTGCTCAATCGTGTTCGTCGATCTTTCATAACGGGCAAAATTACCAAATAGAAAGAACCATGCATCATCCCCAAGGTAAAATGTTCTCGAACGTGAGACATTTTAAAGCCCCTCGCAGACTTGCGCTTATTAAAATTAAAGATGGTACCTTAACTTCGTTCGTCGGATTACTATCTATGGATATAGAATCTTTAGTGGGAACGCGTGTGATATCCACTATTGCTGCAAAGTCAGCGTTCAAAGAGAAGATTGTTAAATATTGCATATTCGGATTAAAACGAACTGGCAGAGCATATGTGTGCACTGAAGGTGATAGAAAGGAGAATTGTTCATTACAAGGGCTTCCCTTATTTAAGGACAAACGAGTGATCGCTTTATCTGAAAAACAAAACCTGTGTAACATTCAGAGAGCCTACATATCAGTGGGCTCCTTTATCCCGTGGGTAAATTCAGTTTTAAAATACAGTAAAATGAAGCCGACCTATAATAAAGCTAAATATCATAGGAAGCCAATTTTAAAACAGAATATTACTCATAGCCGTTTTATTGTATCTAGACACAAAGAACACCAAAAGAGCCAAACTTCCAAAGAATATAACACAGAGCATCAGCCGATACTTAATCAGTCTGGAAAAACGAGAAAAACCCCAATTAGGCGAGTTAAAATACCTAAAGCTAGGAAATCAAGAGCAGTATTAATGTCCAGGGCAGCAACAGCTTACGGAAGAGAAACAACCTATACAATAAATGCATGCTCAAGAAATATAGAGACTTTGCCGAGATGGCTAAAGAATAAAAACATAAAAATGTCTCGCGGGCGGAATGCAAAATTTACTATCGCAAATTTACCAACAACGACAGCCATTGTATATTCGTTTAAGTTTACTATACCTAAAGGAAACGGCAACATGAACGTAACAAATTTATTGGGTGCATCAAGTAAAGGAGAATGTTCAATAAAGAGAACCACTGTGAAAAAGATCAAACGAATTCGTTCAAAGGAAAAGACCGTCCCTTGTCTGGCTCTCAACACGGAGCGGCTTTTCCGAACTACTATAACCTCTAACAAATTTTTAATAATAAAGAATATATCAAACTCTTTTGCCCCAAGCCATTTTTCTACAATAACTGGTCCTATCTCATCATCTACTGACATGTCAAAACTAGATTCAAATGATTATCCTTTAGGTACAACGCCCAGTACAATAAATAATGATTACGACTCAATTACGAGTTCTGCATCAAATATCGCTAATGGAAACACAGCTTTACCATCAAAGACCGTGTCGCGCTTTCAGATAGTAACGACGAATGCTTTAGACTGGTTCAAGAAGCGACTCGATGATAGATTGAAACAAGGATCCCCGCCCGTACTTGTGCTGACCACTTCTATAGTAACCAAAGAATTCGTCGACTTAACTTAATTACTTTATCCGTCTCAACTATTCGTATTCCTTCCTGATGGTAGTTAAGACGCCAGCTGCAGCAGTGGCCGTGCTTTAAATAACTCAACAAATTTTAAATATAAATACACAAAGCTGGATTACTACGTTTCATTGATTTCATTACTCGCCATTTATATTGATGGGGATGTGGGATGTGGTAATATGACAACAGTTTACACAAAGTTTCATGAATAACGTTTTGTGGGGTCTCTCTGCATCTTTTACCGCATTTACCATGGAGAGTGTTCAGAGGAGTTCTTCGGCCTAATACCTGCAGTTGAGTTTCACTATCGGACGTCAGGGTAAAATACAAAATACCATCCGTATCACCTCGACGTCCGTCGTTCCACAACCGAGCGTTTTCTAAAACAGTTTTTGCCGCGCACCACCACTATGTGGAATTTTGAAATTTCCGAACCAATTCGACTTAAGGTCCATCAAGAAAAGAGCGTACCAATTCTTGAAAGGCGGGCAACGCGCCTTCTGGCAATGTGAGTGTCCATGGGCGGCGATATCACTTAACATCAGATGAGCCTCCTGCCCGTTTGCCTCCTCTTACATAAAAAAAGAACAATTGAAATTCTCACGCCATACGATAGTACCTGATAGAATTACTTGGAGCGTTGGTGCAAGAATTTTTTTACTATGAAGTTGTTATTCTTCTTATAATATTGACTAATTTATTTCACCTAACTAAAAGTAGACTTTTTTATGAATAGGTCATTGATATGTACAAAAATATTACCTAGAAGAATTTTATCAATCGTATGTTAAAAGTATTGAACAAATTTTATGTGGAATATTTTAAAAAGGCCCTACTTAATAAATATGTTTATAAGATTTACTAAGAAACAATGAAACCCACTAATAATAAAGGGCAAATTTTAATTCAATTTAAAATTTGTTCTCGGCCTTTGGGAGGGTTGTACGGTACCGGGCGAGTGCCTAAACCGTACATGGAGGACACGGTCGAATTTCTAAGGCAAAAAGAACGAATTATAAAAATCCTATTTTTGACGCTGGCTAATGCACTAATCATGCCAGCAGAGCCATAATAAAAATTTTTAAAAAAAATTTAGTACTTTTTACATACCTTAGTACCTATACCATATACATCATAATTTAAAAGTAGTTTATGCAAACCTGTAGAGGAGTTTACAGTTTACACCTTTATAATCGGATTCAATAAAATGTTCCGCTTCCGAACATTTTTTTTTTTTTATATTCTCCATCTGCAATCAGTGCTTTCACTTTTAGCAAATATGTTGGATGCTTATCTCGTTCGGAGTGTGTCCTCCAGTGAGAACTTCTACTCATAATTCTTCACATTATAGAATGTCTTTTCGTTTAAGGCGTTTAACATAGCTCTGCATCGTGAGCTGTCGTGCAAGGGCATTGGGGTGGGCTGCTAGCCGTTCCCTGTATCTGGTCTTGATATTAGTTATTTCTTCTTTCACTGTGAGCATTCCCAGGTGTTCGTGGATTAGTCACATACCAGGGGACACTACTGATAGTCCGGAGAATAATGTTCTGCATTCTTTGTATGCGCATGATGGAGGAGTTACAAGCACTACCCCATAGTTGAAAGCCGTACATCCATACAGGTTTCAGGATCGACTTGTACACTAGTAGTTTATTGTCTACAGACAGTTTGCTGTTTCGGCCTAGCAACCACAGGTAGCTTTTATATCTAATATTCAGTTCATCTCGCTTCTTTTTGATGTGATCATTCCATGTCATACGCCTATCAAGATGAAGACCAAGGTATCTGACACAATTCCGGTGAGGAAGGGTGGTATTTTCTAGCTTCACTGAGGGGCAATTGCCTTTGCATAGGGTGTAGGTAACCTGTACCGATTTCGATGTACTAGTTTTGATCCGCCAGTTTTGAAGCCATTTAGTTGTATCCTTTCTGTAGCCTTTCTGTAGAATTTTTGAGGCTATTACTGGGTCCTTGTGACTTGCCAGGATAGCGGTATCGTCTGCGAACGTGGCTGTAGTTATGGTACTTGAACAAGGCAGGTCAGCTGTGAATATAGTGTAGAGTACCGGACCCAACACTGACCCCTGTGGTACGCCAGCTTTTATTTCAAAGAAATCTGATGTTGTTTCTCCTTCTTTGACCTGGAATAATCTTCCCGAGAGATATGAATGAAATATCAAAAAGTAGCAGTGTGGAAGATAACTTTTTATTTTACATAGCAGGCCCTTGTGCCAGACTCTATCAAAGGCCTGTTGTATATCCAGGAACACTGCAGCACAGTATTCTTTTTCTTCCAGTGTCTTTCTTATCTTGTCGCAGACTCTATGAACCTGTTCCACCGTAGAGTGTTGCTGTCTGAAGCCGAACTGATGGCTGGGTATGGTGCCTTTTTCAGATAAGATCGGAAGAAGACGTCGAAGAAGTAGTTTTTCGAAAACTTTTGATAGTATCGGAAGCAAACTTATAGGTCTATAAGATGTGACTTCGTTTGGTGGTTTTCCGTCTTTATATATCATTATTATTTGAGATACTTTCCATATATCTGGGAAATGTTGGACTCTTAATATCCCATTACATAGTGTGGTAATGTAGGTTACGGCTTTTCGGGGCAGTTGTGTAATTATTTCTTTGGTTATAAGGTCGAAGCCCGGTGCTTTTCTATCCTTTAGTTCCCTTATAACTCTCCAAACTTCCCGTACTGACACAGGTTTTGGTGGTAGATCCATTTGAAGGTCTTGGTTTAGTGTTGTGTCCACTTGGTCATCAAACTTATCGTCTACGGGATCATTTGGGCAGAATACTTTCGACAGGTGTTTAGCAAATAGGTCTGCTTTTTGCTGTGGTTTTCTCACCCATCCTTCAGCACACTTTAAGGGTGGTTTAGCAGCTTGTGGTCTGTCGAAACTTTTGGTTATTTTCCAGAGCGAGTAGTTTGTAGACACTGTAGCAGTTAGGCTTTCTAGCTTTGCTTGGAATGAGTTATCATGCCAATTTTGCAATAGTGACTTGAGATCTTCTGCAGCTCTGTTAAAGTTGGTTTTGACCACAGTAAGTCTGCTTAGGTGCCAAATTCTTCGACGTCGTCTCTTCTCAAGGACAGCCTTTTTTATTTCTAGGGGATAGTTGTTTACTCCACTATTGTTGGGGGTCTGAATTTCAGGAGTACTTATCCAGCATGCTTCCTGTATTAACAGCGTTATGTATTTAGCTGCTTCATCTACATCTTCGGGTGTTTTAAGGGCCATTTTCATATTTATTGATTCCTCAATGTGCTCACGGAATGTGTTCCAGTCTGTGCGTTTATTACATAACCTTATTGATCTTGATACTTCTATTAGGTTAGTACTAATGGTCAGGAGCACCGGGGTGTGATCTGTAGAGCTGTCATAACAAGACTCAGGTTTCATGTATAACTTCGTTAATCCTTTAGTAATAAAGAAGTCTATGAGATCAGGCACCTTCTTGGCATCAGTAGGCCAGTTAGTGGGTTCACCTGTGGATACGGTGCTTGAGTTGTTTTTAGTTATGCTCAGTTTTAGCTGTTTGCCTCTAGTATTCGTCAATCTTGAGCCCCAGGAAGTATGTTTGGCATTCCAATCTCCACCTACAATATAGCGGTGTCCCAGAGTCTTAAAGAAATCGGAGTACATTGACTCCGTCATGTTGTGCTTAGGTGGGCAGTATACTGCTGTCACATTGATGTCTCCTGTTTTGTCATGAACAGTTATAGTGGTTGCTTGGATAGGCTCCGTTTCATAATTAGGCATTTGATGATGTTTGATTGACTTTTTTACAATAATGGCTGATCCCGCGTGACTGGTACCGTCAGGGTGGTTTGTAATGTAGCAGTGGTAGTCTTGAAACCTTACTATAGAATTAGCCTTACAGTGAGCCTCGGAAATAAGGAGAATGTCCAACTTATGTTGGGACATGAACAGGTTAACTTCATGGTTGTTGGTGGCAAGACCATTGATGTTCCAGGTCGCAATCCGTAGTGTAGTCATTTTGTCAGTTTGTCGACGAGTTTGGTTATGAGGCACATGAGGGTGCTCATTTGTTGTAGGATGATGTCAAACTTTTCTGTCTGTTTTATAATAATTTGTTCTAGGGTCGCGTTTATTTGTCCTGGGATGTGAGTATTATCATAATTGTTCTGGAATGTGTTGTTTATTTGGTCTGGTTTTACGGCTTTAGCATAACTTAATCTCTTTTCTTGTCTCTTGGGTTCTGTACTAGTATTCAGTTCAGTCTTTTTAGGTGTTTTGGATGCTGTTTTAGTAGTTGGTATAGGAATATTGATCGGATTTTTTTGTTTTCTTGCTTGAATTTCTTTATAGACCTCACATCCCTTGTAATTAGCTGGATGTGGTCCATTACACAAGGCACAGAGTGCTGGAGTGCTCCGGTCTCGTTTTTGACATTCTGATGTCTTGTGTGATTGCCCACATTTCACACACCTGTATGGTCTCATACAATAGTTCTTGGTATGACCATACTGTTGGAATCTCTGACATTGAACTAGTGTTTTCTTTTTTTTTTTGGTTCTTCTATGGTGACGCTTTTCCCTAAAGGCCCTGATCTTGTATGTAAATTGATCTTTGTTGACTGCTGTTTCTAAGAGATTAGTTAGTTTTTTTAGGTCTTCAATTCCATAGAGAATGATTGGAGGTGGTTTGCTTTCTTTAATTGGTTTATCTGTTTCATCAGTTAAATCAATGGGCAGACCGTCATAGCGATTTGATATTTTGGTCGTATCTACAGGAGGGCTGGTAGATAACTTTCGTTTTTTATTCCTATTACTAGGCACTTTCTGCCATGGTGGAGGGTGTGGTGAATCTGCAGATGCCAGGGGTACATCTGTTGGTTTCATTTCTTCGACACTTGATTGTGTTGGACAGCTTCCAATTGATGCAGATCTAGGTCTTTGTAGAAATAAGCTAGGATGGAATGCTTGTTGTACAAGTACTTTTCGGCCAGTGGTATTCTCCAACACTGGAGCCTGGTTTCCCACACCAGTGGATTGTTCTTCCGAAGAAGTTGAAGATTTATTGTTTATTTTATTTTATTGTTCACTCATATTGTTCCCACGAGAAGGGTCGATCTAAAAGGTCGCAGGTGATTTATTATTGAGGCTTTCTTCCTCTGGTCCCGGACAATGAAGTCAAGGACCCCGGCCTCGTGGTACAAGTCCACAAGGTAACGGGTGTTAAAAGGCATTTCCTCCTTCCAACTCGGATGAACTGGTTAGGCCCATTTGGTTAGGATATTTAACTGCCGCCCGAGACTCGGCGTTGTTGTTCTTTTAGCACCACCCAGGGGGGCACGTGTGAGGTAGTGGCTAGGTAGTTCTCACGGACGCGAACAACAGGACCCCCCAGCTTCCGAACATAACCTCAAAAAGTTTATAGCTTTGAAAATACGAGCTTTTTTTAGAGCTTTTTCCCAGTCATCTTATGCGTAAATTCTTAGGAAAACTATGATTGCCATTGTTATTACGACCGATCGCTGCGCAGCGAGGTATTTTTGGAGAAAAAAAAATGTTTTATCATTTGTTATAATAATAAAGTAGGGCATTTGACGTTTGTTAGCATTTCTTATGGGTCAAGCGATACCAGCGCTACTAAGCAAAGTTTGGCAGTTTTCTCCTCCATTATATAATTTCTACAGTTTTTTAACAGATCTCGTTAAAGAATGTAGAACTGTGTTGAGTCTGTTGTATCTATATATAATATGTCTGTATTCTACGGCCGTTGCTTCAAGTTAATATCTCTAGTCAGCCTGTGTCACTTCTGTAGTCTGTACTCTTTGGCTATAGGCCTATAGCCGACATTTTGCTACATGGAATATGTATATGGATTAGTATTTCATGTTGTGTTCATTTAAGTTGATTTACCCGAGTAACAAGCAGCACGTATAACGTGAGGAAGCCTGAATAAACTTCAGTTTTACTCCACTCTTCAATTGGATTTTCAAAGGATGATATTTAGTAAGTTTTATTGTATATATTTTGCTGGTTCAAAATAATTCTTGCCTAGCTATAATATATTCTGCAGTTTTGTTTAATTAAGATATTTAACATCGACACTGAACATTCCAGATTAAAAATGTCGTCTAAAATCAGTGGAACCAATAACTTCAAGGTAGTGTTACTGGGCGAGGGTTGCGTCGGTAAGACTTCTATATTACTGCGATATATTGAAGATAAATTTAACGATAAACACCTTAGTACACTTCAGGTATGTTGACACACAGGACTATGAATCCGTCTACTATATTACTATATATTCAGACAAGTTTAAGCGTAAGCTGTTATCAAATAACCAATTTAAAGAAAACACATTATAAACCTAAAAACTAAGCTTATTTTTCATTATGAATATAATGACAGGTGTCTAACTACATACAAAGGATACAAAAAATTAGAGCTTTTTTGATATACAGAGCAATAAATTATAAAATATTTGTTATGATTTGCATTGTTACACTAGTTGTTAAGTCTTAAATTAATCCTACTCAATTTTAGATAACAATATATACCTAATCCAGCCATGAGTTCTGTTACAAATGAAAATGCATTTTTTTTATGAAGTAATGTAATATTATTAAAATTTATACCTACATATTTATTAGTCTCAGCTAAAACTAAATAAATAATCGGTTAAACTTTCGAATATGGACCTTCAATTTGAATGCCCTTATTTTTGTAGATAGTACTCGCTAAAAGAACTTACTTACTTTAGAGGGTACTTTTTGAATATAAAATTTTGGAAATAAATTAAGTAAACCCTTTCAAGTATTTTCAAATTTTTCGAAACGTTTACTAATTGAAACGTAAATTGACGTTTAACATCAATTATTTGTCAAATTTATTATGTTATGGCATGTTATTTGCCCATTTGTATGGAAAGTAAAAATAAATGTATCTCATGAACCGTTTCCGTTGCAAAGTTTTAAGTTTCTGCAACTTAAAACTTAGCAAAATGCTTTCTTTTAGTGAGTATCTACAAAAATTAAATATGGGCATTCAAATCGATATATTGGAAAGTTTTGCCTTTCTGTGCTTTTCACCTGCGTATCGCGACAGAAGGCGTTTTGATTGATCCACTCTCTTATATAATTGTAAAGATTGATTTAGGGCATGTTCTATATATCGATGATAAGCACCGACCTTCAGGTCTTGTTTTACAAAACGCGTTCTAGTGGGAATCTTCTCATTTTTACCATAAAATATAAAGGAAATCAAATCAATACTCATTTTACTGTCCACCCACATTATACTTATCAACTTAGAAAGGGATCACATTTCCAAGGCAGTAATTCAATTAAAATATAATATGGCTATGTCTATTCTTAGAATTGTTCTACTCTAATCCATCATGTTGCATAGCCTTCAAATTGCTAAAATAATTTTTTTTTTTCTATATAGAGCTTTTGAGTTTGAATAGTTGTATTCTATTCAAACTTATGTTGTCTAATGTAATGCGAACAAATAACTGGTTAATCCCTGCTGTATTGCTTTTGTGAAAAAAGCTCAATCTAGTAGTTGCAAATAGTAGTCTAGTCGACAAGTTGAAAATGGTACAAAATAGAGATACTGCTCTTAAAATTATGTACGATAGCTCATTGTATCCGGAATGACGTCTAGAAAAATGTGCCAAAAGCGTGTATTAGCACATAAAAAATTGCAAAAGTTATAAACAATTAAAGATGAAAAAAATGGCATTTCGTTTTTTGCCAATATTTAATAAACTATTAATATTTAAGAAATTCCAAAGAGGAAGATTCTGAAAGAGGAGGAATTTTCCAATAAAAAACTCCCGGAACTCTGATGATGCTGATGATCCAATGAGCTATCGCACATAATTTTAAGAGCAGTATCTCTATTTTGTACCATTTTCAACTTTCAAATTCCAAGTAAACTTTTGTTCAGCATGAAGCTGCCATATAAATTAGCTATTTGACAATATATAACATTTTACAGGCAACATTTCTAAACAAAAAGCTGAACATAAATAATAAGCGAATAAACCTATCCATATGGGATACTGCCGGTCAAGAACGCTTCCATGCATTAGGTCCAATATACTATCGGCACTCTCATGGTGCTGTACTTGTATATGATATAACTGATGACCACTCCTTTGCCAAGGTATGTATCTCCTATAATGCTTAATAAAGTTGTTATTAGAACTACATTATCTAATCCTGACTTAGTTATAGAATTCTAGCATATTCTACACTGTGTTGGGAACCATGGAACATATTTGTGACTGAAACTTATATTATGATTTAAAGTAACCAAAAACAAAGACTTCAAGTGGTGGCCGAGTTTTTCTACTTTTGACATCTTATGGAATTTAAGAACACAATAATTTTCAGGTTCAAAACTGGGTTAAAGAACTTAAGAAAATGCTTGGTGCAGACATTGTGCTTGTCATAGCTGGAAACAAAATAGACTTAGAACATGAAAGAACGGTTTCCTTGGAGGAAGCCGAAAGGTCAGTTAATACAGAACATAAAATTTCTGCCTGTTCGCCTAAGTTTAAAGTTTTTTCATTCATAAACTGATATGATCATTACATAGAACATTGAATAGTCTTTTTATTATAGTGTAGGTACATTATTCTAATCCAGTCATAAGACTCATTGTGAAACTAGATCATTTAAAAATTACGTACACAATTAAGATAAGCTAAAATCAGTGTAACCTTGATGGAAGTATAAGTATATATATAGTCATATAATATTATATGAAACATGAGTGATTATCTGTGTATCTTGAAAGGATGCTGTGAAAAGAATGAGCATGATCTTCAAATCCTAGAAAAAAACAACCTAAAACTTGATTAGTATTTTTTGTAATTAATATTTGCAGTTGTCATATATTTTCAGTGAGTTTTATTACAATGCAGTCTTGTTTATATTTTAGTTTTGTTGAATATACCATTTATTTGTTACAGTACTCATTTTACTTATATATCTGGCACCAACATTAAATAAATCTGTTGTAAGCATATTTAATATCTAAAGAAAGTAGGCTAATTGAAACAAGCCAAATCTTGTTTGCTATAAATTTTAGATTCCAGTGACCAAAGTCCATTCTTAGATATTTTAATTTTGGGCGGTGTTTTATTTATACCTTGCAGATTAGCTCTTAACTCTTATTACTCCATGTTGTGTAAGTAAGGGCACACAGCATTCACATTCTAGACTTTTAAAGTATTAACTAAAATCACAGGTATGCAGAGCTGGTAGGTGCCAAGCACTTCCACACTTCGGCTAAGCTGAACCGAGGAGTGGAGGAATTGTTTTTGGAGCTAAGCCGCGCGATGCTTGATCGAAGCGAACGCACTCCGACGGCCCCAGTGCCCCGCGCTTTGGCTCTCGCTGAAGATGACGAAGCGGCTTCAACTTCTACCTGTTGCTGGACCACACCTTCGAACGGATAATTGTCTGCTTCTTTTTTGCTGTTTGCATAGCCCGGAATGTGTTATGTGAGATCAATGACCAACAAGTCAAGTCAAATCATTTATTTCAATTAAACCACCTAAAATGGCACGTTTGAACGTCAAATAAAATATAAAGATGGTTCTAGTTGCCCCTTCCAAAAAGTAGTTTCGTGTGGAGAAGAATGGGCAAGAAACTCCATACTTAATTATATGTGACGAGAGAAATTTGGTGTCGTGGCTTATCTCAGTTTATTTTAAAAGTGAAATCTGCTAAATGATGCTTCATAGGTATCAGACAAGTTATTTTTCAAAATCAACCAAACAAAATTGCTATTTTTTTTTTTAATAAAATGCCACTTGATAAATACTAAAACAAGAACTTTGCAACAATAGGTAGGAATCTTCGAGTTTCCAATGTTCTTTTATGTGAGAATTATATTTACATAAACATTTATGTCAAAATATCATATTATTATACTATAAAAGATTATTTTGGTAATAAAATGGCTAGACCTAATTAGATTTATGGTAAACAGATCAAAATTATAAATTCAATTGTGATTATGAACGGCAATAAGTGTTTTGCATTTGTAAATGTTTTTGCAAAAATGTATATAATTAGTAATTTAGTATATCTGTTATAACTTATAATTAGTCTATTTATAAATGCTTCTGAAATAGGTTTGAATGTTTTAACTCGGTCATAGTTCAACTAGAGGGAGATACACATCTCGATTGATAGGTTTCATTGGGCTGGATCTTTATACATATTGTAATTAATTAATATTAACAGAAATCTATTGAGTTAATATCTCATTAACTCATAATAGATTTCTATATATAAGAAATACTCATTCTGTAAATTTATAATTGTCTATTATCAATATTACAATCGAAAATTCTGATGCAGTTCTGTGACTCTTGTAAAAATATCTACATTAAAACCATTGTATGAATTTCTTCTTTTCTTTAAAGCCATCACTTTTTGTCGCGTCAAGTGCACACCTGTGCACTCATAGAGTAATTATTTAAATTTTGTTCACTTAAAATCATGCCATGTTTATATAATATTCTGATAATCTTTCTCTCTATAATATCGTGTAGACTTTTCTAAATGTGTGCTCAACTAAGTTACGCCCATTAATCGATTATATATCTCTCGCGGACGGGTAAGCATTGAGAACCGCTTTTGAGCTTTAACGTAACGAAGAAATCTTTTCTGTATTTTTAAATAGGTACTAATAATACCAAACAGGGTTATTGTAATAAAAATACCTCGTATACGTAACATTTACTACTAACTACAACTTAAGAAAATTCAGAACACTATTAACAATATGCGTTGGAGTGTAAAAGAGGAATTGAAGGATGTCCAATACGTGCATCTACCGTCACTTTCATACAAATTTACCGAAAACGGAACGACTTCAAGTAGCGAACACGATTAATGCGTACATTAAATGCGGGAGGCCGGAGGAATAGGCCTTCGCCTAGAGACACTTACGAGGGAACAAATAGAATATGCGTCAAAAGGCGGACACGGGACTCCGATTCGCGTATTCAAAATGAGTCTAAAAGTGGCGCTTGACATTACGCGACAACTGCGTTAGGCGTGACATTTGTTCGTCCGTGAGTTCAGCGTGTTTGGTGGTCGAGACGGTGAAATCAAACGTCCTTTCGTCGCGGGTCGTGCGCCTGGGTCACTTTTCGAGGTCCACTTTTTTGGCCTCGGGTACCTTAGCCGTCAGGGTTTCGGACGTCTCCGGGGCTTCCGTCTCCGCGGGGTCGAAAGGGGGCAAATCCCTCAGGTACGGAAGCATGCTGCGAGATTTTTCTTCTGCCGACAACCACTCCATCTGAAACGGGCGATTCGAGTGAAATACCTGTTAAATTGGGGTCAGTCCACGGTTGATAGCACGAACGAGGCGGACGAACCTTCTGCCGATACTGCAGCACTGCTCCATGGCAAATGTCGAGGCACATGCTCCTCGTCAGTCGCCCATCTTCCGACGCGTAAGCGGCCGCCTGCCAGGCCACGCCCAGTTTGGACAACGCCCTTCCGGAGAGACCGCCCGTGAGGGACGCCACTTCGTCACACAGCTCGCCGTATTCGAACCGATCCACGCTCAAGCGGCTATGGGAACAATGTTTTTATTTTAATTCTTCCACTGATCTCACACGAAAGTAAAAACGTCCACGGCTAAGCGAGTAATGGAAAGCCAAATACCTGTGTTTATCGGCGGCCGGTTGCAGTATATAGGCATCGAAGTACAAGCGAAGCAGACGCTGTCTCTCTTCCGATGTCGGTAGAGGGAATTCCAGTAGAGCGTCGATCCGATCGTGTACGGCCGAGTCCAGGTGATGCGGCGTATTCGAAGCCAGGACCAGCATGACTCGGCCGCTCTGTGCCGAAGTGCGATAGAGGAAGGCGTTCAGAGCGGCCCTCAGTTCCTCGGAAAGGGCCTCCGAGGAACGCTTCCGTAGGAACGCGTCCGCCTCGTCTATGAATAGAAGCACGCCTTTCCGGCTGGTGTTGGCCCAGTCGAACACTTTGTGAATGGCCGCCACGGCGTCTTTGCCCATCGGAGCCACGTCTCCTCCGGTCATGATGGCGTACTCCATCCCGGAATGTTTCGCCAGTTTCTGCAAATGCAACGTCGGAGCAATGCTTTGCGGGGCGAAATTAGTAATAATTTCTTACGCTTCATCCGCAACACGTACCTTGGAGAACAGCGTCTTCCCGGTTCCGGGCGGGCCGTACATTAGCAGATTGGTATAGAGGCCGCGGTTGCGGCGAGTGTTTTTCGCGGCGATGGCGACGTCTCTCAGCCGCCGCTCCAAACTCGGGGCCAGGACCACGCCGGCCAAAGCGTCGGCCGGCGCTCTGAACTTGGCCACCGCGGCCGCCGCAGTGCGGATCGGATGCCTCGCGGCGTCCAAGAGGGACAGACGCGACGTCTCTCGCACTAAGGTCGGCTTCCCTATCCGAGACTCGATAAACCGAGCTGCGACGGACGTGGCTCCTCGCGCCGAATACACTCCTAAGGCGAGAAGAGATAACCCACCCACGGCGGTGGCAGTCCGCTGCCAATCGGTTAGCAGCGCACTCACGCCCGTTCCAATCACGCTGCCTGCCGTCCTAACAAAACTCAGAGATCAGCACATTCAACCAAACAGATGAGCTTTTTGGCTGTATAATATTAATCAATACTAAAAGGTTATTATTAAACATATTTAGAAGAAGGGAAAGTAATATTCAGTTATGCAGATATAAATAACACAAACTGTATGCTCTCCAATATGGTGGTCCTGTTTTCGGCAGCTTTGAGACGGATCTGCTCGAGTGTAATATCTCGGTTCTCCCTGTCTGCTTTGGCCCGAGCCCTCGCTTCTGCCTCTATCGCCTTGAGCTTGTTCTTTTCTCGCAACTCCATCTCGTGCTCTATCGTCGCTCGACGCAGGGCTTCTTGCTTCGCCACACTCTCTTCTTGTCTGGACCATACAAAAATATTTACATTGTGCAAACCTTTATGTAATTTGCAACAGTATAAAGCTTCAGCATGGTATAAATAATAGTTAAAAAGTTTTGTATAATACTCATTTATATCCAGTATAGATATATATTTACCCTTCCCCTTCTCCCAAGTGCGAACATGGTTCTGCCAGTAGCTAACCCAAAAATGACAAAGCAACTTCTAAACTTAAACTAATCTCAAAACAATCTTTATGTCCTAGGCGCGACAGACAGCCCCCTGTGCAGAGGCTGTTTCAGCGAAGAGGAATCAGTCACCCACGTAGTCCTGGAATGCGAGGCTGGGGCTAAACAACGTACATAAATCCTCGGAACAGTGAAGTCGCTCCGTGACGCCTGCTAAGTGCCCAGGAAGCTTCTGTACTTTTAAGGAGTTAGCCAGAACTTTACGTACAACGGACCTATTGAGCGTCTAAGTGCGGAAACTGAGTCCACAAACCATAACCATAGATATATATTGATAGAAGTCCATGGTGAAATCAACACTTCGGCTAACAAATAAACACAACTTTTGAGCATTTAGAAACATCTTGATGGATAAAAAAGTGAGCATGAGAATAAAAAAAAAGGAAACACTTGTGATGTGCTACCGCTATTTACTTCATTGCCCGATAAAGCACAGATTAAAAATGACAGGTATGTCATTATGCATGATATGAAAGAGAAAAGATAAAATAAGGAATGCAATATAAAAAAATAAGTCTTATGAGTTGCAGGTATCAAAATAAAATAAATCAAGCCGAAATAGGCAGGGTCCAGATAAGAAGATATAGTACAAACAAAAATAACAGGATTTGAAGACCTTTGGCAAAATGGGCACACAGATACCAAGGCCAAACATTTTAATGTACATCTTACTTTCATTATTAATACTAACTTTTTTAAGATCTCCTCTTGTGATCTCTGTTGCTGGGCCAATTGTTCCTCATAACGCTTCTTAGACAACTGGTCTTGGTATTGAGCACGGACTTGGTGTTGTTTTGTTTCTTCCTTTAAGTAATAGCAGAAAAAAACCCCTATTTTATCTTAAAATTTGTTAAAAAAATTTGAAAAAATAATACAAGATTAATATTTCAAACATAAACCTGTAATGTTTTTCGTCTTTCTTCATGGTCAATTCTTTTTTGTTCCACTTTGGCCTGCTCAATTGCAGCTTCATACTCTTTAATTTTAGCTAATTGTTCCTGCTGTCGAGTTGATTCCTGAAGTTTACTAAGCTCTAATGCATCCTTTGAATGTCCTATGACAAATTAAATATTAATGCAGTTACGTATTTATATAGCTTAATTAAATAGTGCTATTTTTATAAAAGGTAGTTTCTGTCTCTATTTCATAATTATGTAAATACCTAACACGATATGACGAGGTTATACGGTGCATTATGCAATAAGCTAATAAATTATATGAGACAAATAATTACTTGAGCGTTCTAGTTCTCGAGCGGCTTGCGCGGCTCTTTCTAATGCACTTGAATCAAACCGGTATGCTTCCATTGCCTTTTTCTCAGCTTTTGTAAGATTTTGAGGAGTATTATCTTCTGAAGGTGGAGGCATATCAGCCGGAGGTTTGGGTGGACTACTATATCCAAATAACCAAGACATTGTTTACAACAAAGGTACTCTGACCATAAAAGAATACTGAAGTGGAAAAGTTTACACCTCCCGATTTAATTTAAAATGTTTTCAATATATTAGAGATATGCCTTGCCTCGGCCTTTGAGTTTGAACAGTGTACCACCACTATAAAAATTATAACCTAAAAATTATTTAAAAGGTACAGACTACATCACCACAGTCAAGACTCAAGAGACTAACAATGGATGAGACAACCGATCTTTTTATGATCGCTTTAGTTATGCGGTGTCTTTATTGTAAAACCGAAAAGCAATCTCAATAAAAAAACTTAATAAAGTTTACTTTAATTTCTGAATTTTGAACGTGCCATTTTCTTCGATATATGGTTGCCATTGAATGTAGTCTGTGGTGGGTAGAATTCGTAAATGTAAATTGTGAAACCAGTCAAATCAAAGTCAAACAGTTATTACAGCTGTGCTGTGTGCTAACTGCTATTGTATTATTTTGTAAATAGTTTTACGAGTTTATATTTAGACTTCAAACAAAGCATTATTCTGCCATTTATTCTCATAGCATAATCGTCTCTATCAGTAAGTTTTTTTTAAATCAAACGGACAAGTTCTTTTAAAAACAACCGCCTTAGATGATGGGATCATTCCTAAAAATAGCTAGCATTACTTTACTACGATATTGCATCACAGTTGAACACAAATTAATCAAGTGATATTTTGTGTGTATTGTAGATACACAATGGAGAAAAATGGAAACCCTCCATCTTACGGCTGGAGTAATGGGCATATGCAGGCACCTCCTGCGGCCCCTCCGAGTTATTCACAAGCCGTGGGCGGTGTGGGACCCTCCAGTCCATACACGCCCCAATATCCTCGTAGTAAGTGATTGCGTCAATATAGGTGACCTCAATTTTATTTAAACTTGCATGAGTAACGCTCGTCCTTGTGCCAGATAATACTAAGTGAAGGTAAGTGAGGGAATAAATTATGTAATGCTTTAGAGTTGTCGTAAAATAATCCGCGTGTATATTGAGTTATAACCAGAGGCTTAAATTAAGAAAAAAAATCAATGAGAGAAAATTGGGTGTATTTATGTATCAATTTTTGAACAGGGAGTTAATTTATCAGATTCTATCTTTTCACCATAGGTCTTACTTGCATATGGTAAAAAATTCAGGTGACAAAACTAAGAGATTTATGTACTGAAAATATGTTCCATAAAGAGCAATATGGATCCATTCCAAAACGATCAACTACTACAAATCTACTTCTGTGTGATAATGAATGGGTGAGAAGCATTGATAAAGGTTGAATTTTTGAGGAGGTGGGTTTTGGGTTCAAATGCTTAGCCTCTTACACAAATCGAAACACCTTAGTAAATTTCGGGGAATGAGACTGGATAAGAAATTGTTTATCTGACAGGTGCTTTAAAGTGAGGAACGGGCATCCATTAACTTCTTTCGACCTTGTGCACAGAGGTGTGCCACAAGAATCAGTATATCAAAATATTAAAGTCACCACCACATGCATTATTTGCTGAGATTACTAAATTTTTTTGAAAACCTTTGCACACAGTTGCAAGCAATACAAAATGACTTGAATGATATATTTGTTCAAGACTACTACTTGTCATTAAATTCATATTAGTGAACTGTATACATTGACAAGAAAAATCTCTTTTAGGCAACAACAACTGTACACACACAGAGGTCTAGGTGTTATTATAAACAATGATTAGAAATGGGAACCTCACATAATTAATATGGTAAAAATAGCTAATTCAGCACCTATACTTGGTTAAAACGTCCCACAAATGCCTCTCACTGAACACTTTTCTAATCTTTATATATATAATTCTTCTGTGAGTGTGTATGTCACTGAACTTCTCTCAAACGACTGGACCGATTTTGATGAAATTTTTTGTGTGTGTTCAAGGGGATCTGGGAATGGTTTAGATTCACAAATCATGTCTGATGATGGCACTGCAGTCGGTACTTTCATACTTTGCTTAATATCCTAATCGCTTTAAATATCATGCAGGACAACGTCTGTGGGGTCCACTAGTGTTATATAAAATACTGATAATAATATATGGCCACTGTTGGAATATGTTTAAAGTCATCTGGTCATCAACTATCTATTTCAAGCAGGTTATCACCTTAACTGAACATTTTTAGTGGAATGGAAGGCCCCAATAATGGCCAGAATTCTTAAGAACATGCCATATAATGGATGAATGCTTAAAACAATACTACTGCTTCTTAAAGATAGACATAGAAACATTCTAAATTATTTCTGGCTTTTATAATGTTCAACACATTGAGAATATATTATTTACCTTCAATGAAAACAAACATTTTTAAGGTAACACTTGCACTTAAAGTAAACACCATAAAAAGTAATGGCGATGCCTTGTGGAACTTCTTCCCAAACTTTGACTGAACTCCCTGAGAATATTGCTGAATTATTTTAAAAATAAATTAGATGGTTTCTTCTTATTTCTAAATGTGTATTTGCGTGTGTACGCATCGACATTACGTTCTCAGTGTCTTTAATAAATAATTATAATGGACGAATTAAAGTAATTCCCGTTATTTTTCAGCAACGGGTCCACAAATAGTCACAACAGTGGTGCCTTTGGGGCCACAATCTACACATATGATATGCCCCAGTTGCCACGGAGAAATCGACACGGCCTCAAAGAAAAAACCGGGTCTCATTGCATATATAGCCGGATCGGTGATGTGTATCCTGGGGTGAGCCAATTCTGTTGTATACACTTATCGAATTAATGTATTTTAAAAATAATAAGCGTTTACTTTAATAAGTAGACGCCCAGGTCATAAAGTTAATCACTTCACCTAATGACTATCTGAAATTGCTGTGAAAAAAGAAATGAAAGCAAGTGGACATATATTGGCTATAATGTAGTCTTATTATAGTAGATTTAATGATTCTACATATAAATAATGTTTTAGCATTGTCAAGGAAGTGAGTGGATGTACCAAAAGCTGTAACATTTCAATGACCAATTACAGTTTATCAGTGAATTATCTAATCTATCTATCAGTGAATCTATTGTAGGTTGTTTTGCGGCTGCTGCTTGATTCCGTGCTGCATCGACAGTTGCATGGATGTGCATCACGAGTGCCCCAATTGTGGCGCTCACCTTGGCCGCTATCGCCGGTAACGAGCCGGGCATCAATAAATAATTGAATCTTGGGAATATTGAAACCGACTTGTAATTAAAACTCCACATTCAATTTCAGGTCTAAACACCTCCGTGTGAGCAAATTGATACTTTCTTCTCTAATAATATTATATAATTGTTGTAATCTAACAAGACAGTCGGCCCAAGAACTATGCATCGGTCAGCGTTTTTGGAGATTGTTTTTAACTCAATGTTAACAAAACTAACTCGGGCAGTCGTAAGCGATGTCTTCTATCTCATCTTTATATTTTGTTGTACAAATTTATGGTAAGTCGTGAGGATTTTTTGCCATAATCTAAACTTTTATAATTTTCATAATGGATAGTATAGATTAATTAGTGATCTAAGTTTTTCTATGTGTGGGCCTTACTATTACCCTATTTATATACATAAGTATGAGCCATCTTTTACAAACGACTCCATAGTTTTATCAAATAGAACGATATTCAATCTCGATCCAGCTTTAATTATACAAATTGACAATAAATTTATATTTTTTAATGATATATGAATTTATATGTAATTTTTTAAGATGTCGTCGAATATGACGTCACAATACATATATTTCTTAAGTACGATTCGGCTAATCGATGTGTGAGTGCAAAGTGAAAACGTGGCCGTTAACTATTTCGATAACTACTTGCGTGAACCGTTCAATCGTGTTCAGATCGTGTTAATGTCGCGACTTTTTCAAACATTGTTTCGTTTGCCCAAAAGTCCTTGTCACATTAAATCTTGAATTTTGATCTTGTCTATGATGATGGTGTATCAGTGTGCCGAGCGTTGGCAAGCTTTTATAAATAAATTTCGTAACTTGAATTTATTGTTTTTTTTTAAACATCTCCTGATAAGAATATTTTAGCTAGTTTTGTATTAACTATTTAATTAATTTTTATAACTTGTCGGTGCAACGTCACCGCCGGACAAAGCTCATTCGACAGACCCACGTGCGGCTTCGCCGAGCGCTCGCGGGAGAGTAAAATATTTTGTTAAATAGTAAGTTTATTGATGTAATTTAATTAAAAATTAAATAATGTCGATATAACAAGCGTCGGAGACTCTTTAAATGTTAAAACTTAAATATAACGCTCGCTAACTTTACTTTGAGCCGAACGGAATGTAGGTACATTTTCGCAAACGACAAATGCGGTCAGAACGGTTACGGAACCGATATATATATATATAGGAAGAGATATATTACGAAATTAAAAAACACGAGGAGAAAAGGATCAATTGACTCGTCTTATAGATAAGGTTAAATACTGAGAGAGAGATCGTCATCTCAAAGCGAGGAATACCGTCAGTCGCTTCGTATAAAACAGTTAAATTCGTTAATAACCTAACTAGACATTTGATAGTCTCGCCACTCACGCGAGAGAACTACTGATCTACCACAGTTAACGTTAAATAAACGATCGAAAGGAGACGCGAGAGGCGAAGAGAGGCGTCTCCCTCCGCTAAATAAATATTTGATTCGTATAAAAACATGATTTAACATCTATTCTAAATACGATATTGCCACGTGACAAAACGAAGTCTTCGCCTCGGCGCGAACAACACGGGTCGCTTCACGCGTCGAGCGTGTTAAGTACGTCGAGACCCAATCCGTCCGCGGGAGAGGCGGTCGCGCTACGTGTCCTCGACGTCCGAAGGCGGCCTCGAGGCGGAGGATCTTCTTCGCTGGGCGGGCTTCGGTCCGTCGTCCTCCTCTGGGTCCTCCTCAGGCGAGGCGCCGCGGAGGGGCACGAGCCCGAGGGCTCGTGCCTTCCACGCCTCCAGCCTCATAACCTGCGAAGGCAACGACGGTGTTAATCGAGATATCGCAGCGCCGATCAAGAAGCGTCGCTCCGCGCGACCTTCTCTAGACTTTATACCTACGCATACGACTACAAAACGTTTAAACATCACTACACAAAAGTCGACGGTTCGTCTCATGCGTGACTAAACGTAGCTAACGCGACGCGACGGAGACGAGCGAGCGCAGACCTTCATATAAATTTATAAATAAAAATGTCGGAATATCGTCGACGGTCGGGCGGATAGGCCGCGAAGGGCCGTTGTCAGGCCGAGCACGCTACGACATCGTCGATTTGTCCAAATCGATGATTAAAAATATCGATTTCTACACGTCGATCGCGTGACACGAAACGATCCAATTGACAATGACGTAGCGTGCTCTTTAATATCTTCGCCCGTCGACGCTCGCGTTATTGGAGTTTCGTCGGACCGTTTTTTGCGTTTGGCCAATTTATGAATAATAATCGACAAGTCGAATGGCCCAAACGCGCGTCGCCGTCATCGTCTATTTATATATTTAGCGAAAAATCGAAACTCGAAATCCTCTAGCTACGACAAGGTGCACGCGTCCACTTACTTGAGCCACTTCCGAGGGAGACCCTTCGCCGCGGAGTCGTTCGGGGGAAACTGCGCAGGCAACGATTCAGTTAAGCCAGTGAACGGTCAACGCCGACGCTCCCGAAGCTCGCCATCTCTCGGTTCGAGAGAACGGAGCTTCGGGAGGGCGGACGAGGGTAGCGGTCGGCAAAATTATTTACAAGTCTGTCGGTCGGAAGCGTCAGAGGAGCGCGAACGAGGCGCTCCGCGTGCCACGCGATCGACATTTACCTCGGCGTGTAACTCGGCGACCTGCTCCTGCAGCTCGCGAACTCGCTCCGAGTCGTCCGAGTTGTGGTTCCTCAACTCCCCCTCTGCGGCCATCACCTCCGTCTGAAAGCGACGTCGGGAGCGTTTAATGCCCGAGTTCAGTGAGGAGTGACTTCGCGACGAGAGCCTCACCTTCATCTTACACTCGGAGAGCTCGTTCTCCAGCTCGGCGATCCGTTGTGAGACTTCCATGTTCTTGATCGACGCCTGCATCGATTCGTATTTCGCCTGAAAATTTAAACGCAATCGTCACGGTCGTCTTCGACCGTCCCGACAAGGAACGGGAACGGGTCGAAACGAACCTTGCCCGCGAGGTCTTCGTACTTGTGCTGGAACTCACGCTGCCTCGCGATGAGCGCCCTCTCGCGAGCCAGAGCTGCATCGAGGGCCTCTCTCAGAGCGCTGGCCTCCTCTTCTTGGCGACGCAATTGGTTACTCGACACCTGCACCTGAGCGCTCAGTTCCATTTCCTGCCCAACATTCGCACAATCGGAATTAGATCTCGTCGTCTCGACGTCGGCGTCGTCGAGCGAAGTAGCCAGAGCTCCGGAGCTCCCGTCGGACACGACTTACGCACCTTAAGCCTCAGTTCCTTGAGCTCGGTGAGGGCTTCGACTTCCCGGATGCGGGTAGTCATCAACTCGTCTTCCACCCTGTGGGCGTCGGCGGCGCGACCCTCCCACGCTCGAAGCAATTTCTTGGGCGTGGCCATGAGGTCCGACACTACCGAAGGAGCAGCCGCCGCCGCCGTCGCCGCCGCCTCGGCCCGGTGTTCCTGACGATAAATAGACTCGGTTAGACCCTCGTCCCTCGCGCTTGGACACGTCGTCGTTCGCGTCGATACCTGCAGATGTCGCCGCCACGCGTCGGCAAGCTCGGTGACGCGCTGCCGCAGTTCCTTCAGGGAGAGATTTGCTTCCGCCTCCCGCAATTTCACCGCTATCAGTTCGTCCTGCGAAACAATTTAGATTTACGTTAGTGAACGCGAGGCGAAGGCGCGCCACTAAGCGGGCAAGACTAGGTACCTGCAGATGCGCGACGTTGTTGTCGACGGTCTGCTTCCGCAGCAGCTTGTTGTCGTTCTCCAAGTCGGCCAATCTCGCGGCCAGCTCCCTCTCGGCCGCCTCTCGTTCCGCGAGCTGCAGCTTAGCTCTCACCAGCTCCTGCTGCAGACACCGCGCCAGTTCTTCTTTGTCGCCGGAGCCGCCCTCTCCGCCCTCGCTCCCCTCCCCGCCCTCCAGGGACGATTGGCGGGAGTTGCACTGGAACATCGATTCACTTTTAGCGTGTTACGTGCAGAGATAAATATTTATTTATTTCCCAGAATTAACTCAACCAAAGTGTATACTAATAAGTCTACGACCTCTATACAAACCCTATTAATTACTATATACGAAGTTAGTCCAACAGTTGCGACCTCCGCCTCTGATTCTCGCTTGGAACTCGCAGACACCCATATAATGGCTCGAACTCGTAAGAGTAAGAATCCTAAATAGGTACACTGATCTTCTGAGGCACGCAAAACAAATAGGGTCGGGTACTTAAGCTGATACAAAACATACACTCCACATACGTAACGTGATGGAACGATATGGAAAAATGCTAACATAGGCCCCGCACAAAAAGGAGGCGATGCTAAGGGCGGTTTCAAACTAGCGTAGTTTTCTGCGTGTAAACGGTCATTTCAGCATACGCGCTTCAAAAAACCGAACGCGTGTAAACTGGCATACGTCAGCGTGTTCGCTCGAACCGGTAGTGGCGTCGTGTCGGTATCAAAGATTGTCGCTCTCATACGAGTTGCGCGCAGGCCAAAAGGCGCGCCTGTACGTGCCTACATGCGCTTCCAAAGACGAGCTCATACGCGCGCTACGTTGCCAGTATTTGCTAAAGTTCTAAGTCACTTCTTTGTTTAGATGAAATGGCCCGCTACACACCTTTGTTATTGACGAACAGAACGGGTTTCAAAGTGTTGATTGTTGTTGTTGTGAGGTAGACGCTGGTCAAGATATCGTATATATTACTATCGACAGCATGGACCCTGGATACAGATTTTCGTAGAGGTAATGGGTGAAATCATCTCTAACATGAGACCGTATTGACTCTGTGTAAGACACGATTGCACTAATGTTCGAAAGCCAAAAGCTTTTCCGTTATGTGTTGGCCAAAACCAAGATCCGACTACGACGTCACACCATTATTGGTGTAATTGTATCTAGTAGGCAACTTACATATATTCTTAATGTAGTTCACTAGATATTATAAAGATATTTCCCTGTTCAGCCTAACATTGCTCATAACTAAATTTTTACTACACATATTATCACGCCGATTTTACCAACTCTTGGTTTTACTTTATGTTCTTTATCTGTGGTTCATCTCCAATTACCTCATTCGTCTTCCCTTGTATTTTATTTGGCTCGGGTTTTGTTTTGTAACGTCCACGTTTTTCCTAGTGGGAGTGCCATGCTGTTGCTTTAGGGCTTCAGCCAAATGGGCAGGCACGACCGGGGCAGTACCACTGTCTCACAGAAAACCGGCGTGAAGTGATGCAATAAGTTCATCTTATTGTACTCGCGTTTCGTGCGGTGAGTGAGACTCCCGGAGCCCATCAATCCCCCCCCCCCCATAAGTATGAAGATGCAGTTCAAACAGAGATTACCCCAGGGGGGTACCACACGTTTCCGCTGTGGAGAATCCCCCTCTGGGCGTCCATCATCGAAACAATTGGTATTCGATGGTGGATGCACAGGCTGCCCTTCGTATTCTGGGGGGGCAAAAACTGCGCTAAAAACTTATATATTAATAGGTTTCGATCTCGGGGCAAACGGAAGCATTTACCTAAGGCAACCCCTTCCACGCTTACGGTGGACTTTACAAATGATAGGGGGCTGAAAACCAACCTAAACGCGGTTCACTTTTACTTAGAAACTGCGAAGCCGGCCTTGTTCTTCCTTACTGAGACTCAGATATCCTCCCCGGCTGATACTTCTTACCTCTCCTACCCGGGGTACAAATTGGAACATTCATTTGTGCCGCGGGCGGGAGTTTGCGTGTACGTCAGGGAGGATATCTGTTCTCGTCGCCTCGGGACGCTTGAAGGAAGGGACCTATCTAACCTCTGGCTGCGCGTAGACTGCGATGACCATCCGCGATTCTATGCGTACCTGTATAGGTCCCATAGCGGAAATGACGAAACTAACCGACTCATCGAGCACATTCAAACGGCTACAGATTCCATGCTCGAAAGGGTTCCTACCGCTGAAATCGTGATACTTGGCGATTTTAACGCCCACCATGCCGATTGGCTTGGCTCTGATACCACCGATCACGCGGGAAGATCCTTTCACGACTTTGCTTTAGCCTACGACCTGGCACAAATGGTCCCTGCGATTACGCGAATACCAGATGTGGATGGTCATAATCCCTCTTTGTTGGATCTTCGGCTGACTTCACATCCGGAGAACTATCAAGTCTCTGTTGACCTGCCATTGGGTTCATCAGATCATTGTGTGGTCCGGAGTACTGTGCCTTCTACGCGCCCTTCACGGCCCCGCTTTTTGGGTTGTCGCCGTATTTGGCACTACAAGTCAGCAGATTGGGACGGGATGCGGTCTTTCTTTGCGGCCTACCCTTGGGGGCCTATGTGCTTTTCGTCGGAAGCTCCAGATTCCGTCGCTGCCTCTGTCACCGAAGTGGTTCTGCAGGGCATGGAACAATCACTAGCACTATCTAGTACTATCTTCCTTGGACATTCATAAGTCGAGCGGGCCGGATGGTATCCCCCCAATTGTGCTGCGTACTTGTGCCCCTGAGTTGGCCGGAGTTTTCCAGTGAAAAGGCGCGTTAAGACCGGAGCCAACTAGGTACCGACCTGTACTCGCTTGGCACTGTCCCGAAGTGCTGGAAAACCGCTTCGATACATCCGATCCCTAAAAAAGGCGATCGCTCTGATCCGTCCAACTATCGCCCAATAGCCATAACCTCCTTGTTCTCCAAAATAATGGAATCCATTGTTAATTGCCAGCTCTTGAGGTATCTAGAGGGCCACTAGCGATTATCAGTACGGCTTTCGTCGTATACCTTACACATAGATGGGCAGAGGCAATTGAGTCCAAGGGGGAGGCGCTAGCGGTTAGTTTGGACATAGCGAAAGCCTTCGATCGGGTGTGGCACAGAGCACTGCTCTCGAAGCTCCCAGCCTATGGGCTACCCGAGAAATTATGCGATTGGATCTCCAGCTTTCTGGCCGATCGGAGCATCAAGGTCGTCATCGACGGAGCATGTTCCGACCTTAAACCCGTGAACGCGGGGTTCCCACAAGGCTGTGTTCTATCCCCGACCCTGTTTCTTCTGCATATCAATGATATGTTGCAACTTAGCAGCATTCATTGCTATGCGGATGACAGCACAGGGGATACTCTTTACACTGGCCGGGCAGGTATTTCTCGGGCAGTTGTCAATGAATACCGGAACAAACTTGTGTCTGAAGTCGAAACTCTACTACGTGGAGTCTCAGACTGGGGCAGACTAAACCTAGTCGAATTTAACCCCTAGAAGACACAAGTTTGCGCGTTTTCCGCTAAAAAAACACCCTTTGTCGCTACTACTCTTTTCGAAAACACTCTTCTTAAAGCCACAGCCAGCATTGGAATACTTGGCGTTGACATATCGAACGACGTTCAGTTTCGCGGTCACTTGGAGGGAAAGGCTAAATTAGCCTCCAAAAAGCTTGGTGTGCTCAGCAAGGCGAGACGGTACTTCACTCCGGGCCACCGCATACAACTATATAAAGCGCAAATTCGGCCCCACATGGAGTACTGCTCTCACCTCTGGGCGGGGGCTCCCCAGTACCAGCTCCTTCCACTTGACCGTATTCAACGCAGAGCGGTTCGAATCGTCGACGACCAATCCCTCTCCGAGCGGCTTGATCCTTTGGCGTTGCGTAGAGATGTGGGGTCACTCTGCATCTTCTACCGCATTTACCATGTAGAGTGTTCAGAGGAGTTGTTCGGATTAATACCTGCAGCTGAGTTACGTCACCGGACGTCGAGGCAGAGTACGAAATTCCACCCGTATCACCTCGACGTCCGCCGTTCCACAACTGAGCGTTTTTCAAGGCAGTTTATGCCGCGCACCACCACTTTGTGGAACCAGCTGCCCACTGAAGTATTTCCGAACCAATTCGACTTAGGGTCCTTCAAGAAAAGAGCGTACCAATTCATGAAAGGCCGGCAACGCACTCGCGAGCCCTCTGGCATTGAGAGTGTCCATGGGCGGCGGTATCACTTAACATCAGGTGAGCCTCCTGCCCGTTTGCCCCCTATTCTATAAAAAAAAAAAAAAAAAAACAAACGAAACTATCGGTAAAGTGCCGATCTCACTTACTAATCGGATCATCGAGTTCTTATCTGAAAGAAATTTACACTTTTTATATTTTGTTGCATACCATGGATCCGACCCTGTTCTTCTTCTTCACTTCCTTAGTATTTTCTTCCATAACTCTCAAGACTTTCCACAATTCTCTCAATTCACTTTCGGACTTGTTACATCTTTTCTGAAATACCTTACATAAGCAATGTATTAAAGTCCTGTTTATACGGTTATTCGTTTCCTGGCATTTAGCACGTTATGCATTTTTGCATCAAAACCGATTAATTGACGGTCAATTGATGCCCTTGCCAGGCGACATATTATCCTGAATCGCTTCGCTACTATCCCTATAATCTTTCGTCATTCCTGTAATATAAAAACATATTCCCGCTAAGATTACCTCCGCCAGAGTGACTTCCAAGGAGCGTATCTCTTCGTGAGCGTCGGCCAACGCCTGCTGAGCGTCGAGGTTGGCACAACGCAGGGCGTGGAGCTCCCTCTCTAGCGCGAAGGTCTCTTCCTCTCCGTGAGCTCGGTCCACTTGGCCCCGAACTAAGCGAGCCGCCAACTCCGAACACTCCTGTTCTAGGAATTGCATGCGCTTCTTCAAGATACGGTTCTCTTCACGCAGGCACTGAAAATAAGTTTAATCAAGATTAAATATGGCCTAGACACAAATCGGTGTGTGACGCATAACGAAACGAAACACAACTCACTCTCAAAACAGCAATGTCGCTCTGTTCTTTTGTTTTTATCACGGTGTACTCCTTTTCGAGCTTTTTCATCTTTTTCGGGTTCACTTTTATGGAGTACGCTAGTTCCATAAATGCGTCTTGGTCTGCGTCGGCTTTCGCCGGCAATTCTTTTTGAATATACTGGAAGTCATTAATTTTTTTCATTTAAATTTTGAATTTGAATGAGCCAAGTTAAGGAACATGCCGCTTTATAGTTCCGCACCTTGAGAAGGTTTTCCATGTCCAAGGACAGAAGATGTTCCTTTCCGAGCGTGAGAAGCGCCAGTGCAACCTTAAACACCACCTCTATCCCTTCGGAGAGGAAGACGTCCATGATGCGACAGGCCAAAGGCAGAGACAGGTTGGTCGTGAAAAGAGTGAGGAACCAGCTACTGGCGTATATCGATGTGCTGAAACTCTGTGGAGATTATTTATTACTTTTTGTTCAATTATTATTGCTAACTGTGTTTTTCTCTTACTAATATTAGACAACAGTAAATAAACATAATTATCACAACAATACCTGTGACTGAAAGTGAACGTGTAAATCAGGTAAGATTTCCTGCAACAAGTTTTCCAATTGGTACATGCAGAGTCCTAGTTCCGCCATACTTGGCTTGAACATGTCTCGCATTTTGTGCTGCTGCATAATCTTCACGAGAACCGCAAACGCCTCTTCCTCCGGCATCTGATAGATATTTATGTTTAAGTGAGTTTTCTTTTCATTACTACGGTCGTAACATCAAAGAAGAGTATGTGCACTTTTTCGCAAGGTTTTTTCTACTGACCTGCATCAATAGAAGTCCAACTATGAATCCTGAGCCTTGGCAATATCCCACTTCCCTGTCATGGAGGGAATACGCCTTCATCACATTGAAGAGAGCCTCTTGGCCCAAGCCATCTTTTTCCTTGAAGAAGTCATGCTCCGGATAAGTGCGCGCGATGTCACGCCTTATCACCTTTTCGCACGCTGACTTTGCCTGTAAATAAATACTAGTACGAACTTGCATACCAGAAATGTAATTAATCTTTAAAACGTGAAAATATAAAAGTTACCTTAATGTACGAGGCATACTGCTTTTTTTCCGGAGAGCATTCGACCCCGGCCAATAGCTGCCACACGATGCCTCGGAAGTGATGTGGAACACCTCTTCTAACCAGATCTCTCACAAACTGGTTGCGTCTTCGCCACTCGGTCTCCCAATTACTGACAATCCTGCCCCAGAGAATCCAAATCTCTTCTTCGCTGCTACCTGCCACTCGCGTATCTTCCTGACTCGACGTTGCTAGAAAAGTTAGGTGTGTTTCACTTCGTCTGCTGCAATACGCGCATTTTTTAGCAAGAGTTGGTTGAGGAGGATTTGTTTGTTAACAATATATTTTGAAATTGTCTCACCGATGAATGGACTTCACCAACCAACGTAATACACAAGCAAATTTATTTTTAAATAAATGTTTTACTTCAAAATTGATTGTTTTAATTAACAGGTCTAGCAAGGATAATACATACCAAGCAAATTGTTTATAATATTTGCAAAATATAGCTCAAACGAATTTGTGAGTCCGTCGTCTCTCTCTGCCATCTAACACTGATATTGTCTATGAGATGAGTGGACTCAGAACGCGATAACTGATATTATCTTTAGATAATGTTTAGCTAATATTGCGTATTATTGTGTCCTTACGAAACACTTATGATCGAGAAAGTACACTTTGTTTAGAGAAGCATGTTTAAAAACATATATACTTTCCCTTTTACTACCTAACGAAGTTCCTTTGAAAATTCTTGGCACTCACTGGAAATGCTAAGAGATTTACCTATATTAAAGTTTAAGGAATGGTAAAGATAACAATAATGCCTGGAGAAGTAGGCGTATCATGCAATATCAGATTAAATTATGATATTATGACAACTATCACCGTTGTCAGAAACATAAACTATTGTAGTGCCATGCATCGTCAGTCTATCTAATCAAAAATTATTTAATCAAATTGGTAACTATGTACACTTATGAAAAACAAACAACATATTTAAATCAGGGTATACTAGTTGTTAATATTATTTATAGCAAAGTCTCAAATAATATAATACTTAAATTATAGGTAAAGTCGAATAGTTTATGTTCACGCATCGGGTGCCACGATGACGCAATAATTACTTTGTGGGAAAGGCTCAATGTTATGTAAAGGAGAAATATAATAAACGTTCGTTAAGATTGCCTTTTACGACTCCGTTTAACCTAAATATAGTACGAAATGTGTAGCTTGTAGTGGTTGAATATTTATGTATATGTAAAATATGTATTTTTCTCTTTCATCAAAAATATAACATTTTTATATCTATAGAAAGCAATCCTTTCGTGCTCTCGTGGTGTGTGAGAAGAACACTAACCTGATGCGAGTGATGTTTCAGAGTTTTTTCTGCTGGCTGCGTTGAGCGAGGGGCACTTTGAGTCCGCCTCGATCTTTCTGTTGGCCTCCTCCAGTTTGGCGAGTAAAGCCCGGTCGGGCGTCGGCAGTCCCTCTCCCTTTTCGGCGACAACTATCACACACAATTGATACTCATCGTCGAAAGTAGTGAAATAGACATTATAAGGAGTAGGCATGCCCTCAATAATCACTGATTCAGTGTTCAAATAACGGTTAAATAAACAGAGCAGCGACCCTTGGAAAAAACCATATCTGATCAACTTAATTGAAAACAATCATTATATTATTATATTCTAATAATCATTCATAATATTAAACAAATGAGCTGTTAGTAAATTAATGGCAGCTAAATTACTTATTGGTATTAATGACTTTACATGAGGAGATTTTTGAGTTCTTAAGGCCTGTTTGAAACTGTTAATATAGATTTTATAAACTGGATCTTTGATGCAATTTCTAATTGAGTTTGAGTAACACTTGAAGCAGAAACATATGCATCGGACTAAGTGCAGGATCAACTTCAATTGATAAAATTAAATATCTCTGAGTTTAACGAACCTTGGTTCTAAAGAATTGAAATAGCTAGCTAGCTTTTTCATATGAAATATTATCTTTAATCACCATGTTAGTATTAAATTATACCACCACTATAAGAACCACGATTAAACAATTGTGGTTCTTATAGGAGTACTATGTGGTATATATAAAACAGTACCGCGGAAATGGCACTATAAGGTAAAAATGTTTAGCTTAGCGAAGGATGAAAATAGGCACGAAAAGAAAAATAATTTGGGCAAAACAATTAAGTCAAAGAGCTAAAATAGGACATTCACCTGGTTTAGGCGTAACTTTATTTTCAGTCGAGATCTCAGAGTATTCCGAATCTATGGGTGGAGGCGAAGTACTCCCATGTACGCGAATTACTGATAAGTCAGTTGATGGGATTGGGCTATCTTTAACCTCTTCCGTTTCCGTAATTGGCAGCTTAGTCGATGGAGAAGTATGATCCACAGCCAATTTCATTATTCATCCACTTTGTCTTGGCTGCGTCTGCAGACAAAACTTTATCTATACCACTGCATTAAGGGTTTGGGGACTGGATCAAAACAAATATCATTTATTTATATATAAATAAAAGTTAAATGTTCTACGACTACATTTAGTAGGACCCTACCTCTACAGTACGGCGAAGAGGCCGTTCATCGGTTAACCACGTTTAATAAACCACGGTTTTCTCTGACGTCAAATTAAAATATGTCAGACAATTTTCATAAACATACTTTTATAATTCTATTATAAAACAACTCGAATGTTTTAAAACTATTTTGCTTCTATCGTTAGCTACTATATGCCTGAAAGAGCCAACCGGTTCCTAATTACCGTATACCGTAAATTTCATTAAATACTCATATCACTCAATTAATGTAAATCCAAGATCTTTATCGTCCATCGTTATTAGTCACCGAGGCCCACACACACACACACACACACAATAAAGACGTGGCTATTGTGTGCGTAAACAACACAGCATATATACAGTCTGTATGTGAAAGTTATCCACCGGCTGACCGCGTACTGAGCGTGAAGGCCGTAACTATTTAATGGACTATATTCACACGTGTCCCGCTAGACTAAAACACTGTATCAAGGCTTTTGCTACTCATTCTACTTCAGCCTTTTGCCAGCCAAAATGGTTCCGAACAAAGATTTCAAAATCGTGAATGAGATATTTCACAAAAACATTAAAGATTTGCGTCAACTATACAAGGAATTCAGAGAATGCAAGAAGAGCAAGAACAAACATTTTATAATCTAATATATAAAATTCTCGTGTCGCGGTGTTTGTAGTTAAACTCCTCCGAAACGGCTTGACCGATTCTCATGAAATTTTGTGAGCATATTGGATATGTCTGAGAATCAGACAACATCTATTTTTCATCCCCCTAAATGTTAAGGGTAGTCAATTCCACCCCTAAATTATTTTGTTTTAATTTTAAGATAAAAAAAAAATTAAATTGTTTATGTTACAGCATTAAAAAATACATACAACCCCAAATTTTCACCCCTCTACAATCAACCCCAATTTTTTATTATAAATGATATACATGGCAAAACGACGTTTGCCAGGTCAGCTAGTATTTATAGAAAATTGAGACAAATAAATATCTTTCTTCTTAGAATTATGGGGGAAGAAAATGACTATGGAAAATAATATCTGTATCAAGTTTTAAAATATCGATAGTAACCTTTACATTAATTGCAATAAATTAAAATGGTGGAGCAGTTAAAAGAGCTGTAATGACTTATTAAAATAGTTTACTTGGCCAAATTTAATAAATTGGGGAAGAAACCAAGTCTCGGGTTGTTGTTGTTTGTTGTTGTTTGTTGGTGTCAAACAGAACTACCAAACGATAAAGATAAGCGAAGAGAGTGTGTTACGCAACTAACCTTTTTCTGTGAAATATAAATATTACGTCTGCCTAAATAATGTGTAGTTTTATGATTGATAAAGTGCGTGTACACTATTGAGTGTTTTGTAGACGTGACTTCTCTTTTCTTTTATAATTTTTCCAATTTATATTGTTAATTCATTACAGTAACGATAACTATAAAACCTTCATAGTTCTTCTAAAGATTAAACGAACAAATTCCCTCGATAATGTTTTTATGTAAATATGACCTTGTAATAAAGTAATATAATTATTAGCCACGTCGTTTGTGAATTTATGGTTTATCAACATTAAGGAGCGGCGCGGCGTTCCTGAGGCCTGAACTGGCTTGTAGTAATTGTTTGTTAAACTGAACAGCCTATTAATATTCACCTCGCTTCCATTGCTATTCTTTCCTTATTTTGGGTACCACTCTGTTACCTTCTCTGTCCATTTTTCCTTTCTTCTCTTACCATGTGAAATACACTTCCATTGCAATTTCTGCCAATCCTTAACTCGTTGCATTGTTAAATTTTGTTTTATTTTTACATACGTTTTATTAAATGTCATATTATAATCTAAGACTAAATAGCTATTGTAATGAATTTAACTAAAAGAAAAGGTGTAAATCCAGGACTTACAACGAATAGCCGTTTATTTAATAAGAATATAAGGACGGAAAATACAGGATATAAAACAAAAAATTCACGCTTTTAAATCAAACTTGATACGGCCTACGGTCGGTCATATATTCATATGTAAATTGATAAAGAAATAACAATCGTATTCACTCTCTGAGATAGTAATGTCAATAAATATAGACATTTTTTTAAATATTTCCAACCACTATTATCAATAAAAAAGTAAATAAGCCAATATATAATTATTATTATTATATAATAATAATTATTGGTAGATCGCGTCTATCTGATCGAAGTGAGACCAAAGTAACTTTATTAAGATTACTTTGCGTGGCTTAATACAAGTTTGTGACTCACCGGTGTTACATCACGCGGTCAAAGTTTTTGTGAGTTTACACTACAATGAACTATTTAAGTAGTTCTGTACTGCGAAATAAAGAAATAGGACGCCTCTACAACCTAGCTTTTAGACATTAGATTACTATATAATCGATAGGCAAAAGTGTTGGTAAAAACTGGTAAATTTGAACTTACCTTCAGTAGCAGCGAGACCCGTACGCGTGACTGCGGCCACTGGCTCGCTCATTAACTAGGAAAAAAAAACCAAATCAATAACTGGCTGGTAAATGGCTTTTATTTACTATCAGTAGTAATCGCATTTGAGGAAATATTTTTGCTAAGGTAATACGTATATATATATATATATGTGGTTACATTTAATAGAATGATTTTGTAATTGTTTTTGGAGTTTATTTCAAAGTAGAATATATATAAGTATATATTATGTATTTTATGAAACCGTGCCTTATAATTTAATGCCCATTAGTAAACGCCTGACTAAAGGAACTAAGGCAATAAAAGTCACCGTTTACTCTTATTGAACTCTGAGAGTACCGTTGTTCATTAAATCGACACAACGTAACCATATCTACTTATAATTAAACGGAATCCAACAAGGGCCTGTATGACTCAAATACACCATAGCTTTATATTGCCCTTTGCAACCAGTCGCACCGAGCCTCAATGAAAAATATGTGTCAGATAAATGATGCCTAAGGTAAAACAATTAAAAAACAAAGAGCCATACCAACACAGTCTCGACACGCGGACACGGTATTAAAATATCTGAATCACAGATTTCGCGTCAGCATTGCAATCTTTTTGTTTAGTAATAAAAAGGGACTTAAAAATTCATATTCGTCAGACTTACACATTTTAAGAACTACCGTTGAATGGGAATGTCATTTATTTCTTTTACGTCGCATTATACGAGGCTGGTAGGATAGGTAGGATGACGTAATTAACCGTGGACCTGCCCATCGCTCTATTCTCTTAGCAGCTGTACAAGAATGAAGATTATTCAAATTTAATATCAAGTGGCGCTTCAACCTTATATGGACCTTGGCCTCCGGTTTTTTTGATAATATTCGTCTTATGTATCATAATCGCGTACATACATGAAGAATTGTAACATTGGTGCACTGGATTTTAAGGCAAGAGTAGACAAAAATTAGACCTGACAATGTTGTTTTGTTGGATTTTTAAAAACTATACTTTTAACTTACAGATGCCCCTAAAACATGTATTTAATTTCTTGGCTCGTATTTTAGACTCCATAAATACAATAACTAGAATACATGTTGTACAACACGAAAGAATCGAAGAGGAATAGAAACTTGAAGTACGCGATACCCACAAGGAATTTATCAATAATAGTACAACGGAACCAAAATATTCTTAGTTGACTTGTACAGTAGTTTTGATAATCGCCAGCTATAAATTCATTTCATAAACAATAAATGTGAAATGCAAAGCAACATAAATATCGCAATAACTAAAAATGTGAATACAATTGCAATGGCAGCGCAATAATACGTAAAACATTCATAATTAACCCGTATATTGCTTAAGTGTTTTTGCAACTATTTCATTAAATTTATTCAAGACGTAAGCACACATATAAATATTATGAAAAATACCATAACATGTGAACCACCTTTTGACAAGGCTTTTACATCGCGAAGCGTAATATTGCAAATGATAAGTAAAAAATTAATAATTAAAAACTCATCCCTAATAATAAAAAAGTAACCGTATTTAAAAATGTGTTCTATAACTCTGCTTAATCTGTTAACGCTAGCACCGATGGCAAAATGAACCACCGTAATGATATTTGTGTCATAAAATAATTTTCATAATGCAGCAATTATTAGACATTAGAAAAACTATTATCGTAAATGGATTTCCTTCTAATTGTCTGTAATATCATTCATATTTCAAATACTAATACTCTATTAAAAATAAAAGTTAAAAAATGTGCTTTTGTGAAATTGAAGCATCCGCGTGCAGAGTTTGCGCCGGTGAGATCGTGTCACTCACGGCGTACATCGACCTGAGTGCATTTGTTTCACTCACACGTACCAAGACCGAGTGTGACGGATTGATAGCTCGGCACCTCTCAAGCCAATTAATTTTTCGTAGCTTTTTCTCTGATATTTACGCGGCAGCTACTGTTATAGTCATTGTGGTCACGCAATATCAGTCGAGGTGTAAATTTACTAAGCGTTCCTACATTCCCTATTAAGATTATTTTCCCAATCCAATGTGTTCCCCATAATACTTGGCATATAACTGCATAGCTACCCCCATACATTCGGAACAAAGTCAATCAATTAATTTTTTACTCTTATCAAATTTTTAGCCAATTAGGATCCAAGTCCCAGTCATATGTGTCAATATTTACAATATTTATTATAGTTTTAACATAAAACTTTCATACATGTAGATAATTGGAATGCAAAAATTAGGAATCAACACTTATAATGACAAAAACAATAGTACTTTACTTTGTTGTATTTCAAAGAGGTGAAGCAAGCATTTTCTAAGCTTTATATTGTTTGTTTTTTTTAAAGAAATAATTTAAGAAAATGGTTTTAATCGAGAGCACCTTGCC